CAATGCGCCGCATTGGATACACAAGTATGTGATCGGACGCAAGGGTGCCAACATGAAGCAACTCGAGGAGGATTGCCCCAATGTGAATGTTAACTGCTTGGAGAACAAAATCAAGCTGGAGGGCGATCCCGAGAATGTGGACAGGGCTGTCTCCTATCTGAATGACATCATACGCAACTATGAGGAGAACTTCACGTACGAGGTGATGACCGTGAATCCATCGTACTACAAGCATATTATTGGCAAGGCGGGCGCCAATGTGAATCGCCTCAAGGATGAACTGAAGGTGAACATCAATATTGAGGAGCGCGAGGGCCAGAACAATATACGCATCGAAGGACCCAAGGAGGGTGTGCGCCAGGCGCAGCTTGAATTACAAGAAAAAATCGACAAACTGGAAAACGAAAAGTCAAAGGATGTGATCATTGATCGTCGCCTGCATCGCTCCATTATCGGCGCCAAGGGCGAGAAGATTCGTGAGGTGAAGGATCGTTATCGTCAAGTAACAATTACGATACCCACACCCCAGGAGAACACCGATATTGTGAAACTGCGCGGTCCCAAGGAGGATGTGGACAAATGCCATAAGGATCTACTGAAGCTCGTCAAGGAAATCCAGGAGTCATCGCACATCATCGAAGTGCCAATTTTCAAGCAATTCCACAAGTTTGTCATCGGCAAAGGCGGCGCCAACATCAAGAAGATCCGCGACGAGACCCAAACGAAAATCGATCTGCCCGCCGAGGGTGATACCAACGAGGTTATTGTCATTACGGGCAAAAAGGAGAACGTTCTGGAGGCCAAGGAGCGCATCCAAAAGATTCAGAACGAACTCTCGGACATTGTCACCGAAGAGGTGCAAATTTCGCCCAAATACTACAACTCCATCATTGGCACCGGCGGCAAACTGATATCCTCCATTATGGAGGAGTGCGGCGGCGTCACAATCAAGTTCCCCAACAGCGATTCCAAGAGCGATAAGGTAGGTGCAGCAATCAGCGGAATTCCACAGTCATTCTAATCTTGAATTCTTGACTCTCACAGGTGACCATTCGTGGTCCCAAAGATGATGTGGAGAAGGCTAAGGCCCAGCTGCTGGAGCTGGCGAACGAGCGGCAGCAGGCCTCTTTCAGCGTTGAGGTGCGCGCCAAGCAGCAGCATCATAAATTCCTCATTGGCAAGAATGGTGCCTCCATACGCAAGATTCGCGATGCGACGGGTGCACGCATTATCTTTCCCTCTAACGAGGATAGCGACAAGGAGGCCATCATTATTATTGGCAAGGAGGAGAGCGTGAACAAGGCCAAAGAGCAGCTGGAGGCGATCATCAAGGAGTGCGATGAAGTTACCGAGGGCGAGGTAACCGTTGATCCCAAGCACCACAAGCACTTTGTGGCCAAGCGCGGCACCATTTTGCATCGCATCTCTGAGGAGTGCGGCGGCGTGATGATATCCTTCCCGCGTCCCGGCACCAACTCCGACAAGGTGACAATCAAGGGCGCCAAGGAGTGCATCGAGGCGGCCAAGCAGCGCATCGAGGAGACTGTCGCCGATCTGGAGGCGCAGACAACCATTGAGGTGGTCATACCCCAACGCCAGCATCGCACCATAATGGGCGCACGCGGTTTCAAGGTGCAGCAGGTCACCTCCGAGTTCGATGTGCAGATCAAGTTCCCCGATCGTGATGCCACCGAACCCGTCGAGGGTCTGACCAACGGCGTCAACGGTGACGGCAGCGAGGGCGGCGAGGGTGAGCCCAGCGCGGAACCGGTGCGTCAATGCGATGTTATTCGCATCACCGGACGCATCGAGAAGTGCAATGCGGCCAAGCAGGCGCTGATCGATCTAATACCAATTGAGGAAGAGCTGAATGTTCCTTTCGATCTGCATCGCACCATCATTGGACCGCGTGGCGCCAATGTGCGTCAGTTCATGTCCACGCACGATGTGCATGTCGAGCTGCCGCCCAGCGACCTCAAGTCGGACATCATTAAGGTCTCCGGCACGCCCGCACGCGTGGCCGAGGCACGAGAGGCGCTCGAGAAGATGATTGAGGATTACGAGGCAGATCGTGCTGATCGCGAGCTGCGCTCATTTGTGCTCCAAGTCGAAGTCGACCCAGAGTATCACTCCAAGCTCATTGGTCGCCAGGGCGCTGTCATTAATAAGCTGCGCGCCGATCACGATGTCAACATCTCGCTGCCCAAGCGCGATGATCCCAATCAACGCATCATTTCCATAACCGGCTACCAGGCCAAGGCCGAGGCAGCACGCGATGCCATCCTGGAAATTGTCGGTGAATTGCAGACGCTGCATCGCGATGTCATCGAAATCGATACGCGCATCCATTCGCACATTATTGGCCATCGTGGACGCACCATTCGCAAGATCATTGACGATTACAAGGTGAGCCCTGGAAATCGAATGATTATATTCAATCAATACATTTTTCTTTGTATCAATTCAGGTGGACATCAAGTTCCCATCAGCCGATGATCCTCAAGCCAATCCGAATGCTGTGACCATCATTGGCAAGGAGGAGGATGTGGAGAATGCCAAGGAAATGCTCTTGAGCATGGCCGAGGATTATGAGCGCGATTATTTGGAGAATTTGCCGCCGTCGCCGCAACCGCAGACTGTTGGCGCCTTCCTCACTGGCGGCGCCGGCGCTAGTTCCGGCTCTGCTGGTGCTGGTGGTGGCAGCAACGAGAACGGTTTCATCATCAAGGATGCACCGTGGGAGAAGAAACAGCAGGCCAAGAATCTAACTGCGCCCAATACCCAATCGCAGGAGGATTTCCCAGTCTTCGCTGCTGGCGGTGCTTCAGTTGCGGCCACGCCCATTACCTCCGTGTGGGGACCGAAGAACTAAGCAGTAGACCAATCAGCGGCAGCCGCAGAGTGCGACGGGGATTTTGGGTAACGGAACAGAACGGAACGGAACGGGCGGGCGTACTGTCGGGCGTTGAGTAGCAACAGCAGGCGTGCTCGAACGAGGTCCTTAGTCGAAAACTAGTGTCAAAAATGGTACAGGTTGTCTCTCTCTCTCTCTCTCTCACTCTCTTTCCCCCCTCAATCACTCTCTGTCTCTCTTCTTCACTCACTCCTAGGAGCTTTTCTACAATGCATTTCAAAAACAAACGACAAATGATAAAAACTATTTTTGTATAATTTGATACAGAGAAACTCTGACCCCACACACATGAACACACACACACACACACACCAACACACACAACATGCTCAGACACTTGAAATTGCATTTATACAAAAAAAAAGAAAAAGAAAACAAAAATGAAACTTTATATTAGCGCCAGATTTTGCTCCCCTTTGTCCTTGTTCCTGCCCATTTGTTGCTTTACCCTCCTGCCCCCTTCCTCAACATATGACTTAAATGCCAATTTCTTTTTATAACCATATTTCAATGCATAATATTCTAATTAGTTCAAGCTACTTAACATTAAGCAGAAAGTTCAACAAATGTTTTGTTAAAAGTGGTTGCAACAACAAATTTAATTGATTGAAAACATGATATTTTATGAGAAACAAAAAACAAAAACAAATTACGGTCAAGAACGATTTATAATTGTAAGCATAAAAATGTTAAATATTTACTATTGCGATTGCTGCTCTATTTTTTATTACAAATCTATTGTTTGTTTATTTTTTTTTTGTGCCGTGTGTTTCTTTCTTGAAGTGACACGCCGCCAATCCGAACCGAGTTATTAGTTTACTTTATTTCGCCTCTTTTGGGAAAGTGCATGGTAAAAAAAAAAAGTTTGTAATTGTATAAAGAAGTGAGAACGAACACTCAAATTGAAAAGATGAGAAATTGAATTGGAACAGCGATGAATTGAATTGAATTGAATTACACACAAGCATGTACTTTGAAATTATAATATATATTCATATATATATCTACACATATATTTACATATATTTATAGATTATTTAACGCACGCCTGCTTCTGCTCCAACAACCAAGAACAACCAGCTTTATATCCCACACAAACCCATTCACATTTCAAAATGAATACAAACATTTTAATTTTGTGCAATCTTCTTGATTTATATTAAATTGTTTTCGACTTATATTTGCCACTTAACAACTTTCAACACACACACATATATATATATATACATATATACACACGGCGCTCAGACCCTGTTTATGATTTGAAGTTGAAACACAAAGTATGAAAATTCAAACAAAATAAAAAATATTACAATTTTTTACTTACCATTCAATATAAAACAAATATAAAAAATATAAAAAAAAAATAAAAACAAAATAAAACCAATAAAAAACGTAAACAATTATATATAGTTTGATTTCTTGATTTTAATTATATTTTTGTTTTTCTGTTGTCTTTTGTTTTATGCGGAAATTCCTTTCGACAAGTTAAAAACGAATAAGCAAAAAGAAAACACCAAGAAAAAAAGAACAGACCTGATATTGTAAATTTTTTAAAATATACATATTTACAACCAACTGCATTAGTAACTTTAAGAAACGTAGTAAATACAAAACAAAGTATATAAATGTATATATTTTCCTATATTAACGGACGTAAATCAAATGTAAACGTAAACGAAGCGACGACGAAAGCTGAAAAGCAAACCTTTTTTTCACTTATGGCATTTTTTTCCAAAAACAGGCTATTCAGATACGAAAATAATGTATTTTATTTCTATTGAAATACAAACAACAAATTATTTTGAAATTAAAAACTTTTCTTCACGTATTTTGAATTCGCGCTGCTCCGACTGCACTATTGAAAAGTTGGCAACGCCGCACGGCCTTGCCTATCGATAAGCTGGCTGCCATCACTATTTATCAGAAAGCACAGCTACTTTTTCCGTGCTTCTTCTTTTGCAAAAATTCTTGTTAAAAACAAAAAATAAATAGTTAAATCAGTGCTGCAATTGAACTGAACTCTAAGCCGCAACATTAAGGAGATCAGGACACTAGCTCAGCCATGGAGGATCGTAAGTGTGCGCTAATCGTATATACTGCAGTTTTCACAAGCGGACTTCGAGTATTTGCCGCATGCAATTGGGGAAAAGTGGTCGCGTGTTCGCCGTGATCCCTGGTCCGCTTATTGGAAGCGTTTTAGTCAAGAGACGCGGTACGCTAATTAGAAGGCAGTTTTGACCAAGAATAGGTATTTCAAGTTAGGTGGGAAGATGGTTAGTCTGTCTGTCGAAATGTTGCTTGTTCAAAATTAAGATGAGTCATGGCCGAAAGTCAGCTTGCGCCCTGTCCCTCTGCCTCTGGAATGCATTGAACTCGTGGGAGTTTATTCCACATTTGCCACAAATACGTTTTGCGTGCCGTAAACATTTTAATATTTAATTCAGATCGCAAAATCTGACGACGTGGCAAGCATTTTGTGAATGTACTGCGTTGTTCTTTGTGTACATTCAGTGTTGCAACAATAACAACTACTGACAATATGCGTAGCAACGCCTCCCATTTGCGCTCAGTTTATATTTAATTAAATATACACAAATTTACTGTGGCAAATCAAATTTTAATTACATTTTGTGGCTTGTTTATGTGTTCGACGTCAATTGAGCGCAAATACTTTTCTTTCAATTGACAGCAGGCAACACACACACACACGCACGCACAGTTTGAGCCCATCCTCCTTCCACTTGTTGATCATGCAATTCTTTAACTCTGCTAACTTGGCACAAAAAAAAACAACATTAAAGAAGAGGGGAAGAGAGAGAGAGAGTCCAAGACAATGCTGTGTTGGGCTGCACATTTTGTAAAGTTGTGCTCTCTGTCTGGGCGCTCTGGCGTTGCCAACATGTTGAGTTACAGTTACTTCAGCTAGCAGAGCGCTGCGCAGCTTACCAATTGGAAGTTGAGCTCAGTTTAAGTGTGGCTGTGACAGTGCGCGGTAGCATATGAGACAAACGCGTTTCTTTCTTGGCTGGGAAAAAGAAAACGCTTTTCACTATGAATCTGTAGAAATAATGGGCAAAAGCAAAAGAACCGAAACATCTTACAAAGCCAGAAAAAACAGAAAACATATCTGGTCGAAGCGCTCGCTTTGAAATGTGAGAAGGTTCCACATGCGCCGCCACGTTCCAATTAGAAAGTGCTCGCTGTTGTTGTTGTTACTGCTGCTGCTGCGGAACATGAGATAAACCACAGCGAGAGAGAGAGAGTGAGAGATTGGGCAGCATGAGCAGCGAATCTGAGCCTGTTAGCTTGGAGTTCATCGAGGATTCTTATCTGCCGCGCATCGATGACATCACCACAACGCCATCTCTCGACGAGCTGGAAATAGCTCCAGAGAGCGAAGCAGACTTCTACGATGAGACGGAGCATTATCTGCGTAATCTAACACTCGATGACATCTTTTATGATGTTGATTCGGATTATGCCAATACCCTAGAGCTGCAGGCGGTCGAAACGGAGTTCATTGCGGCCAAGCTGTCCAATCAGACGCCATCGCAATCGATGGCAAAACGTTTTCGATTGAAATTCTTTACCAAACGAACCATGCGCGATGTTAAGGTCACGTTTATAGATTTCTCGAAACCCTATCTGGCCAAAATATCAAATAGTGATAATTATAAAAGATTTCTGACCATTGGTCAAGCTGGTGCTAAAGGTAAACATTGGTGGAGGGGGGCAACTCCAATTGGAATTGGGTAACATAACATAACGGGGCAATTGTATTTCGAAATATCCGAACAAGTAATATTTGTAGTACAGTGAAAGCTCGCTCGAATCGGACAATCTACGGGTTGCAGTTTTTTCCAGAAAAACGTTTATATATGTATTTAGTTTTTTTTGTTTTTGTTTTTTTGGCGAACTCAAAATTGGGAACACGACTTAATTTAATTGCTTCGTGACTAATCAGCTTTTCTTAATTCTCTCTATTTCCCCCTCTTTTTTTTTTGCTTACGCTATGCGCCGAACGAACAGTTTGTAAGTATTATTTGTGCTGGATACAATTTGAAATGTGAACAAAATTCTTAAGTCTTTATATACATTTTATACGAAACAAACCAAACGAAATTCGATATGCTCAGCGCATGAAAAAGTCTTTGAGGAAGTTGTCTTCCAAGGAGGTACATAAAATCAAACAAAAGCAAAAACACACATTTAAATGTCGCGCCAGTTCTTTAGTTTTTCCTATTAGTAAAACAATTAAATGTATCTCTATATATAAAGAACTGTCTAACATTATGATTTATGCACAGATAACAACGCCCACCTGTCGGAGCCCGCTTCTCCAGCAGCATCTGTGGCATCTGCAGAGATTGCCGCCGAGTTCGCAGCGCTCACCGTTGAGGAGAAGGAACAGCGACGCGCCGAATGGAGCCAGGCAAGTGCCCAACACGTTTTATTTGTAATTCCTTGATAAAAATTCTCTCGCTTTTTATTTGCAGGAGCTGGCACGCGTTGAGGAAGAGATCAATACGTTGCGCACGGTGCTGGCCTCCAAGACGCGCCATGCTTCCGATTTGAAGCGCAAGCTGGGCATTACCGTCTGGAAGGAGCTAACCGACGATGTCAATCAGGGCGTCAAGAATCTGAAAGAGAGCCACGTGTAAGTTGCCGCCACAGACCCAGCTGGTCGACAGTTTTTTTTACGTTCCATCACGTTCGAATCAATCTGGCTTTATTTGTTTTTGTTATGCGTTTTTTTAAATTTGAAAATTTGTTCATATTTATTTAGTTACCAATCGATGGAACAGAGCGTGGGCAGCATATCTAAAGCCGTGCACGAGGCACCACTGTAAGTAATCGTGTCCAGGATTGTGTTCCGCTGGCAAACTAACCCAAACCAGCAGCTGTTCCATGTTTCTTTTAACAAAAACTTCTGCTTCTGTGTGTCAATAACCAAATGCATTGTTGTCTATATTATCTGCGTCTCGCTCGTGATATATGTCTGAGGTTTTATTATGCTAATTTGTTTTCGTTCTGCTTTTCTTTCAGTTTCCAACGCACTGAATCGGTGCTGAAGACAACTGGAGAGAAAACGGCTTCAGTTTTTGGCAGCATTACGAGCGGCATTACGTCAAAATTTTCACAAATGAAAAATTCTGAATCGATGCGTTCTATTGAAGCTTCGGTTGGCTCTGCCTATGAGAACGTTAAAGTAAGCTATGAACAGAACAATTTTTTGTGCCAATCTCATGCGGTAACTACTATTTTATTATATATATATACATATCTCTTCTGTATCCTCTTATGCCTATGCTCATTGAACACACATCTTGACAATTACCAAGTACAACAGCAAAACAAATACAACACTATCTGCTCTTCACACTCTCCACACAGCATCTGCCACCATTTAGGCACACTTTAATCATCGGGGCTTACACTCGTCTAGTCACTTCTACTAAATACTTAATATATTTTATTCAATAATCGCATGTATTTTGCTAAAAAAAAACGTTCAAAGTATTTGTCTTGTTTGCTACAAAACTGTTCGGTTTTCTATTCTATTCTATTGTAGACGAAGGTGACATCCCGTTCGGGTTCGGTTTCCAGTTTCCCAGACGATCTTGATGAGAATAATTCACCATCGGGACTGAATTCACCCACAGACTCTCTAACAAAATAAATGCGTACTCACACACATAAGCAGCACGCGTAAAATAATCAAAAGCAAAACAAAAAAAAAACATAATTACACCTTTACACACACACACACATACATAAATAACACACAATTAACAATTGCGTTTAAATATAAACATAGACATATTTGCGTGCACACTAACACCAAGTACGGAATTTATTTATAAAATATATGTGTTATTATTATTATAACTATTATACTATTTAATGTATGTGTATCTTAACTTTAACCAATTTTGTTGGTAGCATACATGCACACGTGTGTGTGTGTGTGTGTGTGCGTGTTGCACTATTTCAATAATTGTTTTGGTTTAAAATCAAAGAAAAAAAGCATGTGAATTTACCAGAGTTCTTTATGCATAAATCTAAGTGTATGTTTAATGTTTAATGAAAATCAAGAAAATGTAAACCAATTGATAACATATTTTCGCAAACTTTGTTAACACACACACACACACACACATGTGAGAAAGATAAACAGATAATCATTGTGCGAATTTCATTCCTAACTTCTTTGCCGCTTAGCTTCACTATAAAAAAAAAAATATGTATAATATATATTTTTATATTTTCATTTATTTTTCTGTAGGCTTTGGGTCGTGTAGCTAAATGGCGTAACTGACAAATATTCCAAATTAATTTAAAACTATTTAAACAATGAATGAAACAAATGGAGCTTGCAAGCTAAATAAATAAATACATTGGTAATATTAAGACGAAAAACCGCACCAAGAATAATGTAAAAAATTGAAAGCACACACACACACACATTACTGATTCGTTGCAACTACACTTGATTTAAGATTTGCTATATGTGTATGGGATCTTTAAATAAATACGAAAACTATGTGCCCCAACTTAAACGCCAGAGTTTACATTTTAAAAATCCCGCCATGTTTTCTTGCGACAGTCTGGCAGCTCTATGCCCTGACCAGGGCTGCATTAAACTAGCACAGCTGTCAAGCAGAACAGCTGGCAACGCTCGGCAGTACAATTTTTATGAGTGACCGACAGAAAAGCCGTGAATGAAAAAATGACAAACTCTAAATGAAATTAAGTAAGCATCGTGATGCAGAACACTTGACAAGACAATTGGTGACTCCAGAGTGAAAGTGCAATTAAATTTTAATAGTATTTAATTAGTGTAAGTGCGGGCGCAGACATGAACTACACATACTTGTTTGTGCTCGTTTGGCTGGCCTATTTGATATGCAGCGGCGTCCTGTTGTTCTCTCGAGGATTTCTGCTTGCGCGGGTCTCCAAAACGGAGACAAGCACCTGCCGGCGTCTGTCCACAAATCCAAATGATGTAAGTGCCGTGTTCAGTTTGGGGAAAAGTGGGAATTCACTGTTCTTCTTCTTGCCGCTAACTAGGAGTATCTGCTGACACCGGAAGTGGTGCAGGAGATTTTCAAGGATGTGAACGCCTCATCGTCATCCAATCTATGTCTTCCACAAAAGTCTAAAGTCATTATGCTCGTCATTGATGCATTGAAATACGAATTTGGAGTTTTTAAAGAGAACACCACCGAACCGTTGCCTTATGAAAATAAACTAAGTGTGCTGCATCAGCTGCTGCAACAGACTCCGGAGCAGGCGCGTCTGATGCGCTTTAAAGCGGATCCGCCGACGACCACGTTGCAGCGCCTGAAGGGCCTAACCACCGGCAGTTTGCCCACATTTATCGACATTGGCTCCAACTTTGCCTCGCCGGAGATCAACGAGGACAATGTCATAGATCAAATTGTGAAAAGCGAACTGCCTTTGGTATTCCTGGGGGATAGCACATGGACGGATTTATATCCGCGACGCTTTAAGCGCGCCTACTCATATCCCAGCTTCGATATATTCGATTTGGACAGCGTTGACAATCAAATAATGCAGCATTTGCCCAAGGAACTGGCCAGCACAGATTGGCAGGTGCTCATTGCGCATTTTCTGGGCGTGGATCACTGCGGTCACAAACACGGACCCATACACGAGGAAATGGCGCGCAAATTGACAGAAATGAACAATATCATAAGGTAACTACAAATGGGCACAGGATTCATATGTATTTAACAATATTTATTCAATCTCTTAGCTCAGTGGTTGCTGCCATGGACAATGAGACCACGCTGCTGATAATGGGCGATCATGGCATGACGGCTAGTGGAGATCATGGTGGCGACACTGATGACGAAACGAATGCCCTGTTGTTTGCCTACTCCAAGCAGCACAAATTCTTTACTAGCAACGATTCGGGCTCTGATAGCGAATTGCTGCAGCAGGTAAAATAGATAAGACAACGTCTTTTTATCTCTGGCACACACACGTCATGGCCATTTAAAAAAAAATTACTGTTTTGCAGATTGATCTGGTTCCCACACTGTCGGCCATACTCGGCGTGCCCATACCCTACTCAAATTTGGGTTTAATCAATTTTAATATTGTGCCCGCTGTTGCTGTGCCGCATCTGAGTAAATTCCAAACATTGCTGCTGCACGCCTGGCAGAATGCCCATCAAATCTATCGGTATTTCTTCAACTATGCCTTGGAGAACAAGCGCACCTTTAATGTGGAGCAAATGGACACACTGGAAACGGAATTTATACTGTTGACGCACCGTGTGCAAACAATTTACAATGAGGCGGCCTTCAAGTCGTTTGTGCGCGATCTAAACATTAATTTACGTGACATACTCAACGTCTGTCGCGAGATCTGGGTCAAGTTTGAGCCTGCACAAATGTCGCACGGCCTGCTATTCAGCTTTCTACCCATCTTTTTCGCCTTTCTGCTCATTAACAACTCAAATGCCAGCGATTATGCCAAGATTTTCAAGCCCAAGGAGGTGTTTTACACATTTCTGATGAACATTGCTGCCGGCGTCTTTGGCTATCGCTACTACAAGAACTTCTCGTTCAAGACGGAGGAGCATGGCGTTATATTCTTCACCAGTTTGCTGAGCACCGTGCTGCTGGCCTTCTATACGCTGCGCCACTGGAACAGCATTGCCAACAATTGGGCGAATGTCAAACGTTTTGGCCACATGCCCACGCGACTGCTGCTCTTTGCCACCATGGCTGTGTTTTTCTCCAATAGCTTTGTCATACAGGAGGCCAAGATCTTATCCTATCTGCTGGTCGCAGTCATTCTGCTGCTTGTCTATGAGCTGCTGCAGCTGAGCGCGCGCCTGGACTTCAGGAACAAGTTTAAGTGGTCGCAGTTCTTACGCTCTACCGCATTGCGTTTGATTTTGGCCAGCCTGTTGGCCATTTGTTGCATACGTTTCGCCTCCACGCTGTTTCGCTGCCGCGAGGAGCAAGGCAATTGCGCTGATTTTGCGAGTGCCGGCACGCCCGGTTTCTCCGTGAAAAGGCCAGCCATGGGCAAGACCTATGTGCTGGCCGTAGTCATAATTGTTTTGTACACCACACTGACCCGTTTGTATTTGCGGTCCTGCGGCAATTTAACCGGCAATTCGCCCAACGTGCTATTGGCACGCTACGGTCCGACTGTGGCCTCGATTTGCGCTGGCGGTCACATACTGCTCGCGAATAGCGCCATCAAGAATATACAACGCACTCACATTGATGCCATGGCTCTGGTCATCTATGGTCTGTTGCTATTGCAAATTGTTGTTGTCTCGTGGGCGCCATTGATGACGTTTGTGCTGCCGCCCAGGAATCCAAATACCATCAGCGTAAATGGGCGTGACAGCATTGTGCCGGAAATCTTTCGCAAAATGAAACGCATGTATGAAGGAGATGACGATGCGGAGCGTCGCTATGAGATACCCGTCGTCTATGGCCTGGCCACTGTCTACTCATCGATCATCATTTCGTTTGGCGTCTTTCTGGCCATGCTCATGATCGTGCTGCTCGAGCCCCACGCGAGCATTGGCCTCATTGTCTGCGTGGTCGTCGGCGCCATTATATTGAGCGTGCATGGCATTCTGCGCTACCGCACGGCCAGCAGTTTTGGTGAGTTTTTGCCTTGATTAATTATAATTATTCGTTTTCAATTAATTTTCGATTTGTTGCCTTGCAGAGAGCTGCGTGCAGCCCACATTTAGCGCTGTGGTCGGCTGGTTTTTGCTGGCGCACTTTTGCTTCTTCGCCACATCGCATCAGACGACGCTATCGCAGATCGACTGGCGCGCCGCCTTTGTGGGCCGCTCCAGCGCTTTGGGACAGTCGCATCTCATTTCTGGGACGCTTGTCATTTTGAATACCTTTTGTGGGCCCATCTTTTTCTACTGCATGTATGCGCTGCTCAGCACGGAGACCTTTTCGCTGTTCGCCCTGTTTCCGAATCTCATCAAGAGCAGCAGCAGTACCAGCAGCAACAGTCGCAGCAAAGCGGATGCAGCTGCTGCGGCACTGTCCGATATCGCCACCGATGCGGTGGGCTTTGATATGACACGCGGCGAGCTGGCGTTGTATGAGTATGAGGATGTTTTTCTGGGCGTCGGTTTCAAGCTGGCCACACAGTTCTTTATGCTGCAGGGCCTCAAGGTATGTGCTAAGAGTTGCAAATCGTATTTTTTCATTTCGATGTTTGATAACTTCATGCAATTGCAGATCTTTTGCGCCATGCTCGCCTGCACCATACACTGCCGACATCTGATGGTCTGGAAAATATTTGCGCCGCGCTTCATCTACGAGGCGCTGGCCACCTTTGTGGGCCTGCCCTCGCTTATTGTGGGCTATCTGCTGCTGTTGCGCATCAACCGTGCAGTCGATGGACTTATCAAGCGCATCAACAAGGATAAATAGTTTGCGGAACCAACAACAGATATTAATTAGCTGCATATTTGTTCTAGTCCCGCGGTCCTGCAACTCAAGTGTGTATTTCAATTTTTTATATATGCCCAAAATTTATTTAGCATTTACTAAATTATAGACTAGAAAAGAGGTATTTTTTGGCGGACTTCACTTAGCTGGTTTATTTTCGCCTTACTACAAACAAACTTCTTGTTTTTTGTTTAGTTGTTTTTTATTACATTAGCTAAAGATACATTTAAAAAAAGAATATGAATTTCTCGAATATTATCGAGCTTTTGAATATATGACCGAAAATCAGCAAAAATTAAGTACAATCGGGCGTCATATATATATATATATAATTAATTATTTAATTTGCTGTAAAATTAAACTAGACATCAGCTACACAATAGTAACATCTCAGTTAAAGTACACAAATGTGGGTTCAAACCAAAAAATACAATTATAATAATAATTATTGAATAGAATTGTGGCTAACGAGTTTGCAGTATTCAACTGTGTTGACCACAACTAATTTCAATTATACATTTAGTTTTTATATGCTGTACATGTGCCAAACGAGAGTTAATTGTATTAAGTTAGCCAGGTCAAATGTTGAGGCTATGTGCGGGTGTGTGTGTGTGTGTATGTGTGTAAGAGAGAGATTCTACATTAACATCTAATGCCCATTGAGCACCGATGCGGCATGGGGTGCTCCGCGTGTGGCTCCCTTAGCTACAAATTAAAAGAAAAGTACACAGATCAGGCCAAAATCAAAAGCCAAGATAATGAAGGAGGATTTAAGGATAGGAGGAAAATTCGCAAATTCGACATGCGTTAAAAGCGTTTGGAAAATGTAGGTAGCATATGTACAGCAATTTAGAAAGCAACTATTGGACTACACAATCTTTGGCTTTGATGGCGCCAGCACCAGGTATGATGATATTGATGCATGCGGATGACGGGAGAAGCTGCCTTAGTCGCTGTTCTCATCATACGGATGATAGTGCCTTTCTGGTGCAGGAGGCGGCGGCGGCGGTAGTGGCTGCTTCTGCTTACCATGGCTTGTCGGACGGCAGTACTTCTCGCTGGTACTCCAGTCCTCCTTGAGGGACAGATTGAACATTGAATAGTCCGGATCGCCGGTAACCTCCTTAACAATGTTCAAAAACTTGGGCATGCAGTTTTTCAGCGCATCGCCCGTTAGCGAGGAGTAGGTCTCCAAAAGCACCAATCCCTTGCAGCTGCAAGAAGATAAATGCACATGATTCAACTGCAGGCAGCGATTGGCTATCTACTTAAAACCTACCGTGGATGACCCGGCTCCTTATAGATGTCCAGTTGGAAATATTGATTGTTAATCAGAAAGCAACGACGCGTCTTATAGATGGTATAGTGCGCATCATCACATTGAGCTAGTAGGTTGATATAGTCACGATGTGTTAGCTGTGTCTTCACCTCGATGCGGTTCTGGCCATGTATGTTGGGACGCCGCTGGGTGTATATGTAGCTCCAGTGATTCTTCTGACCGCGCTTGCGAAGACGCGCCTGCACCTTGGGGAAGGTGGACTGCAGATAATGATGCTCCACATCAAAGTCTTGGAAGGGTGGAAATTCGCTTTCAGGCGGCAGCGAGGCAACTACATCGGAATATAAGTTGAAGATCAAGTAAATTAAGCTATCGGCAACTTACCCAAATATTTGAGTTTCCTTGAGGTGGCTTGCAAACGATCGCCAATATCGATGCCCAGTTTTTGGCACACGGATTCAATCATGCGATTCATTTTGGTCTCAAAATCGGTGGAGTTATCAATGACATCAAAATAGGGATGACCCACCCAGGCAGCGGCCGATTTATAGTCCAGCTCACGGGCGAGCTCAACGCCCTCAGAGCGGCAGGCATGGTCCTGCAATAAGAACAAGAGATTAGGCGTGCGTGTGAAATATAAGGCAAATCTTAAATAATACCTCAGTATAATACAACAACGAGCGATAATATCAAAGGCTAACGAAACTGCCCCAAAGAAACTAAGCTTTAAAAGCACATGAAAGCTTTAAGAGCTATTAATTGTATAAAGCGTATCAAGTTAAAGCTTGCAAAAAGCTTTATTCACTTAAAGTGTTCCTCAGTCTTTAAACAATAACTACAAGAACAAGGTGTAATACAACTTTCCACTTAAAGCAAGAGCCCATTAAAGTTAGCCCACAACTAAAAAGCTTTCGAGCTGCATCGAGCGATAATATCATAGAACAGCCCCGATTAAAGGAAGCTTAAAAAGCACCTGAAAGCTTTATGAGTTATTAGTTATTTCCACTTAAAGCTAAAGTCCTTTAAAGTTAGCCCACATCTAAAAAGCTTTCGAGCAGCTGTAAGCATATTGCATTTGATCGGGTACCTGATAAATGCGCTTTCTTTTCTTTGTTTTTTTTTTTTTTTTGTATATGTACAAAAGTTTGCCCAAAGTTAAAAGAGGGTAATTGGAATCAATGGAGCGCAAATGCAAGACTCACCTCTGTGGAGTAGAAATCCTCGGCACCATTTGCGGCCGATACCAAGTGCAGAATTTGGTTGTAGCGATTGTCGCGCATCTCCACGGGATTCCATTTGTTGGCCGCCATCATTTTCTCCCACTTGTCCTTCGATATATCTGGAAAGAAGAAGCAAAGCTCAGTTTATTTTTATGTCTGAGTGGGCAAGAGTTATGCACTTACATGCGCTGGCATCCATGACGCCGCGATCGCAGATGATGAGGACGTTGCGGGTGTTCGAGTTGCCCAGCTCGAAATATGTGTTCTCGATTTGCACCATTGTGCGTATCAGATTTTCCTGAAACTTATAAGCTACAAAACACCATTGGCGGATTATTCAAGTGGGCTTTATTCAGAGTACAATTGGAGAAATATAATTGTTATTTGGATATATGTATCAAATTAAGAAAATACAATTGCAAGCAAATTCTTTGGAGGAAATATGACACAGGATTTGTATGCCACGGGTAGACTTCTTCTACATATATATGTATGTATGGAGTAAGGAGTGGGAGTAGGGAGTAGGGAGTGGGGAGTAGGGAGTAAGAAGGCTAACGAATCGAGTAATATGAGTTGTGACGATGGCCTGCAACCAATTGAGTGGCAATTGAATGAATTCGAGGAGCAATAAATAACAAAATGCTCAACTGTGGAGATGACAACGATTATATATGTATATACATATATATATTCAAATATATTATGAACAGACTAATTGAGTACGCATAATCAACGTATGTGTGTCAAACAAAAACGACACAAACACACACAAAGTTCAATCCCCTCGCCCTGAAAAAAAAACTGACTCACATTCGTCCAATGCCAAACCACACACAAAGCCTTGCAGCTGTTTCTAAACAACTGGACCGCGCTGTCTGCCTATGTGCGATTGCGATTGTGTTTTGTGTGTGTGTGTGTGTGTGAGTGGGGGGTTATGCGATCATCGTGCGATTATTCATATATTGTACAATATTCATAAATACTACTAAGTATTTGCAATAACCTATTATCGTTCTAATCAATTCCATCCAACAGCTGTTCAAATAATCAGGGAATTTCTCTATAGCGCTACGCCTGAGAGTTTTTTATGTTGTTTTTTTCCATTATAAGAAATACAGTTCAGTTTGGCGTTTAAAAACTCGAAATGCATTAAATGTGACGGAAACTAAGTGAATTCGTCATCCGAAAAAAATGCAAGTATTACAGTCGGGCACAATCACAAACTTGACCTTGAAAAAAAAAAATAATAACAATAGAGTACAGTAAATTAAGCACACACACGCACACATCTACATGTTGCGGCATTTCATACCCTTTGCGTGGCTGGGTATTATAATTCTCCCACGAGCTGTGTAACATGTGCGGAAGAAGATATTATTTATGAATGTTGTTAATCAGGAAGAGACACTAAATCAACAATATATCTATAATAGAAAAATAACCTTTTTTATCGCAAAACGTTTCTATAGATAAGATCGGAATACTATATTGATTTTACGACAGGGTATTATATCATCGGTAAGCCGATAATTTATTTTTATTTGTTGCCTAATACATTTTCCTCAAGTGATAAAGAAAAAGCACCAAAGTGCTTATAAACGAGACAGCAACCCTCAGCCTATGGGCCAGGGGGGCTATGTCCGCGTCTGATTTTTTTTTTGCACAGACCCCTCCCCCGTGCGCCATCCCCCCTCACCCTTCACCCACCTATGCTGACACTTGTTGCGGTCTCGTGTGCATTGACAATGAGAGAACTTGTTGTTGCATTGAACTTGAACTTAGAGCGCATCACGCAACGAAACGAATGGAATTGATCGATTAGACAGCGCATAGAAACTGGAATGGGGAAAACGGAATGGAATGGAATGGAATGGCGGAATGTTGGAATTCGAATGTGGGTGGTCGTTCGGGCGATTTGTACGTCAATTGTGTGCGAATGAGTTTTCCTTGTCTGCCTTTCGTTTGTATATGGTTTGTTTTGGCTAATTCAATTAGCAGGCGGTGATATAAGCAACTGATGCAAAGGCCAAACACAGATGGTAATACTCATAGATAGACACACACTAGTATGTGCATATGGGCATTTTTCTGGGAATATCTATTTAATTTGTAATATTGCGCCGCACAAATATGGTAAAAGTCTATTCTAAGTTTCTGGGCGGAAACAAGTTCTTGGCGCTACATAAATAATTATATAATTAGTTGGTTACATTTGCATAAACTTAAAGAGCGAATGCAAATTTCATGTTTAACGCAAAGAAAATTGAAAACAGAACAAGAACAAAACAACATGATAAGCAAATTCATTAGGCTATCAACTTGAATGAAATCAACAAAAAATGGCACAACAAACCAATAGGCAAACAACAAAGACACTTTCTGCCTGGCAATAACCAGAAGTATCTGAATCTGTAGCTGGTTTTCTCCTATAACGCAATCGGATTTAATCAATATGACTAAACGGTTTGATTAACGCCAAACTGCGAAGAGTAATGCGCACTTTGTGGCCATTATATGGCGGATATGGATGGATTGGCAGACTGACAGATTGACAAAGATGAAACGCTGCATGAATGGGACACAGATACAAATAGATGCGAGATGGTTTTTTGGTTTTTTTTTTTTGGGCACGTGACGCCGCCAGCGCGAGGTATACCAAATTCCATTAGGGCAGACAGACATGTACATAAAATATATGTATATACGTAAAAGTAAGTTCGCTTTTCGCAAATGAAAATTGCTGCGCCACTGGGAAATCGGTCAGGTGGCCAGTATATGATATATTGGGCGCAATCAATGGCCGCTGGCCGAGCTCTATAATTCTATTTTGGCATTTAACTATTGGCAATTAGAGTTAATCAATTGTGCTTTGTTTGATAAAAGTGCGCTGTGTGTAATCGCATATATATATGTAGACATTTTACAGCTCGGACGCTGTTAATGTTTATATAACAGCAGACTGTTAACTGTCAGCTTATTAACAGCACGTACAGCTGTTAGTAAAAGCGCGTAGCTATTAAGCTAAATATTTTCAATTGATGGATAAAACTACATGAAGTGTCATATATTCGATTTATAATTCCAGCTCATGTTGTTTTGGCTATAAAAACCATATAGTATATATAGCTCCCTTAATCACAGGCACGTGCTAGTCAGCAGCTAAAACTGGCCAATGTGACTTAGTTGATATACATACAAACACTATACTATATGTGCATACAAATCCGTCGACTAGATGTGCGGCTAAATATAAATGGCCCATTTTAATTCGCACATACGTTAGACATTTTCACAGAAACTGTAAAATATGTCTAATGCGAGAAAAGCAACACATATATAGCATATATATTTATATAGATGGCGATATAAATGATATTAGAGATCGCACTAGAGTTTTGTTAGTGGACAAAGCACGAAGCTGGAAATAAAAACAACAATAAACATAAAAAAAAGAAAGAAAAAACTCTTACAGACATATACACAAGCAAACGATATGTACACATAGAGCTGATGAGAATGTTTACATAAGCGCAATTTGTTAGGAGATAAACTAGAAAATAAATAAATAAAAAGAGGAGGCGAAAAATGTCAACTCATCGGCTCGAGGCAGACGGGAGGCGACGGTTGACAAATGCAAACAAGAAGAGATCACGCAGGTGATACGCAACAGGTGATATGAAGGATATAAAGACAACGATCTGTTTAAGATTGTGCCGTTGCCTAGCACACACACACACACACACACACACATACACACGCACACACACATACACACGCACACGCACAAGCACACGCACAGAGAGATATATAGAGAGAGAGTATATGGAAGTTCTTAACAAAATGGTTGGCAATCAATTTGGTTCGCTGTCTGCACGTGGGCACAAACACTCACCTTCGCTGCCATTCGGCTTGGATGCAGCCTGGGCCAGGCAACGTGGACAGGATGCGGTCAGATCGATGATACTGTGCTCCGGTGCGGCAAATGGCAGATCTTTGTAAACGAAGGTGCTTGGCGTGGGCGGGTCTGTGTGTGGGCGGGTTTCGGTTTCGGTTTTGGTTTTTGGTTGGTTTTATCAACGTCGCAATATCAATAATAACAACAATAATAATATCAAAAACTGAATACAATCTAGACACAAGTGAAGACCACTTTACGTATGCCATATCAATTGAGACTCGTGACCGACCAACTGCAGAATTTTGTTGGCTTATATATTTTTATTTATAAGTACCATATAAGACGGATGGAAATGTACTTTTTTTTTACTTTTTCTTTGTTTCTTTGGCCCGTTGCTATAAAAAGAGGCGCATTACGGGTCTAAGTACACAATTGACAAATTAGTTTTGGAAATTGTTAAATGGAAATTGAGTCAAGTCACGCAATTCTTGAGTCAGCGGCCCTACTAAGGATTATGACATTTTAAAGGTTTATTGTCTGGTTTGAAAAACGCGCAAGCGAATTACATAAATGAACCTTCATTGAAGACCTGGCATTCAAATAAAGGGAGGCAAGACACGCCCACAAAAGCGTTTATATACATAGAGACAAGGCACGTACAGTATGCGAGCATCCATAGACTATATACTATCTGGCAGCCGAGATAGTCGCTCTAGCTATTCAAAATACGCAGACAACAGTTTGTCTCTTTGTGGGCGGGCGCAGGGTGTACACATAATCACAGATATCTATATCTATATATATATATATATAGAGCTTATATACACGGCATAGAGTATGTAAATGCTCTCGCAAGTAAATATTTTGTTTTATTTTCGTACGAGAAAATGCCACGACGAACTTGACAGTGCGCAGATTGAAGATTGAAATTCCCCTAGAAAATACTAGACATTGGCAATCATGGGGACCTCATTATGAAATAACAAAAATCCCGAACAGAAAGCACTTGACTAACTAACTAAAACTACAACTAAATTCAATGAAGGATAGTCTATTATGTTTGGGAAGTGTTTTTGTGCGAAAATGCTTGCAAAAGTCAATTTTCTTTTCTTCTCCCAAACTCTCTTCCTCGTTTCTTCTACATCTATTTAAGCAGTTCAGAACTTACCCTCATCCTCGGTCAGATCAGAGAACTTGACGCCGCCGCTAGAGTTTTTTTTTTTCATTTTTTGAGAGGGAGAGATAGAAGAGGCATAGAAATGAAAATTAAAACAAACGCTCTTTAAATGCCTTTCAAGAGGCACTACGCACAAGCTACATTTACATTATTTGCTTGGATTTATTAAAAGATAAGTTTAAAAAAGTTTTATTTTTTTGTAATTCTTTTTTTTTTTTTTTTTGTTTATCGAGAGTGAATTGACGTATTGTGTGAGAGAAAAATGTGAACTGTACAGATATGCACAGATATATATTATATATAGTATATTATGCAAGGCAAATTGTTAAAGAACGCAATCAAACTCAAATCGTTTTCTTGAATGCCGCACAAACAAATAGGCACAAAACATTGTTTGCAGCAAACGTAGCGAGCCAAAGCTAAGGGCATAGCCCAGACAGGCCACAGGCACGGGCATAAATATATGTCCAGGCACGAAATAGTGCGTGCTGAATATGCTTGCCTGGCTGTGTTCCCCACTTTGGCTGGCTGTGTTCTTTTATTTGACTTTATCTTTTCTTTTTTTCTTTCTAATTTTTTTTTTTATTTATTTTTATTTGTTTGTTTCGTTTGTGTTGATTGATGTGTTTTAAGGCATTTACCTGAGTAGTACAGTGGCCGTTTCAGGCACGCGGAATACCTGAAAATATTTAACATGCTCATTGCTTTGTTTCGAGTTGCGATTTGTTTTTGGGATAATTTTGTTGTTGTTTCTTATTTTCATTTTTATTTATTATTGTTTGTTTTTTGCGATGGCTACAGCATTATTGATTGAGTAGAAGTGCGTGCCACGTAGCAGCAAAAACAGCATGACAACAAAACACATGGATCTATATACAGATACATACTATATATACCATCTGACAGTACTTACAACTGTCACAGGCTGCCCAGGATAACAACAAACAGCCAAGCACATATATATATGTGTGTCAGCTGTTGAAGCTGTTGTCGAAGCCTTAGAGCCTAACAACCAAGCCCAGTTAAAAGTAGCCCCAAAATGGCACCCAAATAAATCAATTACTTAATGCTATAGCTGACACTCACCTTCCAGCCCAGATTCTCAAAGAAGGTGCACAGGCGACTCTGGCCAGTTGTTTTGCCACCGCAGGGACCTGCAATATGCAAAAATTCAAATTATTTTCATTCGTTTTGGGCATTGAGCTAAGTGAATTCATCAGTTATTAGGGGCATGCCCCTGACTGTGCCATGGCTCTCAGACAATTGCTGCAACTGACGTTTGTGCAGCGATGAGGAAATGAATGCTCTAAATTGATTTGAATTAACCGAGTTTATGTGTCGCTATCGATTGCCTGCCAGTTGAACAACTTGACTTGCTTCAAGTGCAAACAATGTAACTGCAAAAATTATCTATCTATATTAGAAAAACTGAAGCAGTCTTTGGCAATGCTGAGCAGAGCCAAGTTCCAGAATTGTTAACATTAACATGAACAGGATTAAACCTATGTAAATGTTGCTTTGCGGATAATGTATCTGCTATCTACTAGATTAATTGATCACATTTGTATTTTTCGTAAATAGTAGAAATCAGCTTCGGCGCCATTTTTATCAGTATCAATGAGCTAGTTGTTCTAATCAGGTCGTTCGTCGTGTGATTAGAAAAAAGGAAATAGAGAATGATAACAGAGCGAGGCCGAATTTATATGTCTATAAAAATAAGTAACATCCATATGTATGTTAGTATGTATAATCAGAACTATAATTAATTGATTGCTGGCCACGCGCTAGTTTTAATAACTATTGCTGGAGGCAAGATTTTCGTTTGTCTTTCTTTTGGCGCGCTTTTGTGACGTAAATATGTAAAGTCCGAAAATACCGGTAAGGCGAACACAGAAGCTAGAACTAGTTTATTAACCGGACGATTTGACAAAAAAGCATTTCATTAACATATCAAAAAGTAAAACCGCTAATTGAAATTATGCTGCGCAGGCGAAACGAAACTATTCCAACGCGAAGGAGGAGGAAAGGGGCGCCTTTTTTCAGGGTCCTGACGACCTTGACATGCTTTGAGAGCAAACACACATCGTAAACAAATAGATACAGAAGAAAGGAGAAAAAAAAAAAGGTTTTTGGGAATTAACGACATTCGGTAGAACTTACCGCCAGTGAGTACAATTTTATAGACCCGAACTTCCTTGATGGGCTCGGAGCTCTTTAGCTTCAGGCTGGCGTTCATGGCATCTGGTTTGGCCAAGGCAGACCTTTTGCTATCCACTTGATGCTGATGCTGTTGCTGTTGCTGCTGTACTGCAGCAGTTTTCTTTTTTTTGGTTGAATTTTGATTTGAATCTGAATTTGAGTTCGTGCTCGCCTGCAGTTTCGTTCCGACAATCAGCACCGACTGTTGCCCATTGCTGGTCGGGACCAGGGCAGGTGCCATTAGTTGGTCGGCTGTTGTTGCCATGGTTAAAGCGCAACAGCAACAGCTGTTCCCGAAGTCTCGAATATGAATCCTTGCGCCTTGCACACTGTACTTTTCACTCTTCGCTCTCTCCAATATGACGACGTAGTGCACGTGCGGCTTTTAGGTTATAATTGCTCGACTTGAGGCCTCTCGTTGACTGCAAAATCGTCGCAAATGATAATACGTACACATTTTCAAAATATATGCGAAGCAGTTGCGTTGTTTTTATTGCCAGCTTCTTTTGGGTATAGTTCTATTACCGCTGTTACTCGATGACAGTGACTAACTCCTTGAATTATTGTGCACTAGTTAGTTTGATGGACATTCATAATGGTTCTGAAACGCGCGCAGGAACACATTAAAGAACATTTATCGCCAATTTTTCAACGGTTAATGCTACGCGATTTGACTTGGATAAAACACCAAATGGCGTCGTGGTCAACAGCAGTGGGATTGTTATATACCACATCCGAGTTTATAAATATCAAAGTTTATGAGTTTTATAATAGAACATCATCTTGCACGTTTTGAATTAAAAGCAAAACTGACGAGACCCACTTGCACAGCGCACACTTTATACATGACACTACGTAACTAAGTGAGTGAACCAACACGAGTTGTATCAAACAACCCTACTTCAATTTCAGATGTTCTGTTAAATAACAGAATTTTGACTCTGCAATCTGCAACTGTAATACAATGTTGCAATCGTTATCGTCGTTTTTGTTTTGCACACAAATAAAACGATAAGTCCAATTAGCTTGCTTAACTAGTTTTCAAATCGTTTTAAAAACCGCGGGCTATGATAAATTTTAAATCCGACAGGTAAACTGTTATTAATTGAATTGATTTTACGAGTGCATTTATTACCGATATTTATATTTGGCAAGAGATTTAATTGGCCTTAAACAAATAAGTTAGAAAAATAAATAACAAAATAAATTAAAATATATAATAATTAAAATATATCTCATTTTATAATTTCACTGTTTAGTTATTTTTTAGGAACTTAGAACAAACTAGTAATATAAGTAGAACGAACTTAGCTTAATTAAATATTTTATTTATTAAGTGCTCTTCTTAACAGTGTGCTGCCAGATCATGCAGTACTTAACATTGTGTCAACAGGCCATTTAGGATTCAACACCAAGTTGGCAGCTTTTGGTATTTCTGTCAAATATTAGTATTTTTGTGGGCAAATTTAGAACGCAATCTCTTTTTGTAATATTTCGCATTTTATTGTGTTATTTGAACTGCAGCTGCAATGATGTGTGTGTGCGGTGCTTAAGTGGAATTATATGTGCAATAATAATATTAAAAACACAAAGAAAACAATAAGCTATAAACTATAAACTTTATCAACCAGATTTGTATAAGACTATTACAAATATTTAGCTAAAAGTTTTTTCTGTGCTTAGTGCGTAAATTTTCCAACATTCACAATCCCATAGTACATACAAACATACCTACATATACATAACGTAACATGTGTGAGCGCGAGTGAGAGCAAAACGTCAACATGACAGCAACAACAATAGCAACAGCAGAGTAAAAGAGAGAGCCCCCAGCCAGCTGTGCAGGTCGTCGTGGTCGATTTCTGTTTTTAGGCTCCCCCAATAAGGAACAAAATTTTTCAGTCAAAATTTTGTTATTTACATTGAGCTGCGGCTAAAACGGGTGTCACAGAATAAATATTATCAAAAAATTGTTCGTTATTGAATTGAAGGTTGTACTACGAATTGTTATGCACATATTCAATCTTTACAAACTCAAGTGCATCATTTTACACAAACTGCGTCACACTTGGACATTCGTTGTATTTGTCGCCAAGCTACTCGATAATTGGTATCGCAGAGCGATCAATCACCAGGAGCAGCTCCAACATAATAATAACAACAACAATAACAACGTAATGGAACAAGAAGTGCAAGATGAGGCGGCAGCAGGTCCAGAGGCTCCGGAGGCAATTGCCAATGCAATTATTGCGGATGAGCCAATGGATGCCAGCGATGTGGAGAACGAAGATGCCGATGATGAAATCGATATCGATGAAGACGACGGTGACGTCGATGATGATGACAATGATTTAAGTGATGAAGATGAATCCGATCCCGAACTGGAGGAAATGTATTCGGATAACGATTGGACAACATCTAACGATGAAAGCGAAATGTCCACAACCATATCGAATGTGGGCCTGGGACCCATAGAGCCACTCATACCGCAAACAGCCCGACCCATGTACAGCTTTCAGCCAGCACGTCTGATCAAATGTCAGTTCAAGGACAAGCATTGCATTGGTGGCTTTCCACTTGGACGCAGTGGTCATCGCATTATCGCATCCAAATCGCATCTCTATTCGCTCGGTGGCTATAATCCGCGCAGTGCGCTGACTGCCGCCAGACGCGGCAGGTGTCTGCTCTTCCAGGAGCTCTGGAGCTACAATTTCGCCACAAATCATTGGTCGCTGGAGCTGAACGCGGACAATGCCAGCAATATGCCCACAGAGCTGGCCTCCAATGCGCTTGCCATTCACAATGATGTGCTGATTGTGAGTATTGAATATGTATTTGTCAAGAAGAAGAATGCTTCAGTTGCGGTTGCCTGACTAGCATATGCCCTGTACACCATTTTACATATGTATATGTGCATAACTGCAAATGACAGCCCGTGTACAAAGGGTAGAAAAAGTGATGTGTGTGTGTGCGTGCATTTGTAAAAATAACAACACAACTGTTGTACGCCCCCGCACATCGCCCCCCTGCCATGTCGCCCACTCTAAACCTGTTTGCCATAGCATAAAGCAAACGACAAAATATAATCGCAATCGTCATCGTTATCGTGCGACATAATTTGCATTCGTCGCATCGCTGGGCGCTGATCAACGTCAGCGTCAGCGTCGACGTTAGCGTCGCCGTCAGCGTCAGCCTGGGCTCAATGCCACGCCCGACACACACAACGGTACACGCTGGCTGCGGTGCTCGCCTTTGCTTTTCCGCTCATGCTTTGTTTATGCATTCTAAACATTCGAGGCCCCCAAACTCAACGGAAAAAAAAATCATAAAAGCCAAACAGCTGCGAGCTGTCCGCAGCTTATGCTGCTATCTCTTTTGTGCGCATGCCCAGCGACAGCAGCTCATCCCTCTTGGAAACTACGCAGTTGTTGTTTATGCTGCTGCCGCATGCAACAACTTGTTTGCCAGGTTTTCCACATAACAACGCCACAACTTCCCCCCTTTCCTTGAAAAGCCCAAAACATTGTCCCACTCTATGAAGTTGTAGGCTAGCGCGCGCTTTTTCTTTGACGTTTTGCCTTCTTTTTTCTTTTTTTTTTTTTGTTTATATTTTTGTGGCTATGGCGTCTGATTGTCTTCGGTGTCTTTTACTAGATTTACCGTATAGTTTGGTTGGCATCCCCACAACATTCACCTGAGCTGGCTCACTTAAGTTGCCCAAATTGAATATTTGCTGCGCAGAAACTCGGGCGGCTTATAAGCAGCCAATAAAAAAGAGAAGGTCTCAGCATGTGCTACATTGTATTTCACTTGCTGCCCAAAGGGAAAATGGAAAATGTAGAGCGCAAAAAATCCACATAGATGAATAGCTCTCCAAGTTCACAAAACTTTAGTCACAGTTTGAGTATCATTGCTCTAAGAAGCACAGTTTTAGAAGCACTAATCCCGCTCTTCCCTAATTAAAATGGGCTTCAAATTAGAATAATGAGCCTATTTATTGAAATTATAATGTGGATTTTTGGATTAACTATGCTCTTTTTGTTGAGCATTTTTCTTGTAGGCTATCCAGAAATTAAGTGGTAGCCCTTGTTGAAGACTTTTCAACTTATGCTGGCTGCACAGCACAATTAGTTTTAATTAGAAAGTTAATCATAAAACATGAGCAGACCCGCTTTCCAACGATATCTCAGTAGCCTAAGTACGCCCTGATACACATACACACACACACACACACACACACACACACTCGGGCACGCGAGAGTATAAAGATACATTCATGTAGTACACACTGCATACACATGTCGCCGCTTATCGCAGACTCTTCGCAGAGCTGTTGATAAGGAGGGGGCATCGTTGGCTTCTTTGTTGGATGCGCATCTCCTAATTGAATGCAGCAGACGCACATCCGCTCATCATTTTGGGATAACTGAAATAATTTCTCTTCTGCTTGCAGTCGCATGGCGGCACTGGCTATCCCTTTGGAGAGTCGTGCTCGAATGATTGCTACGTGTACCGCACAAGCGACGGCAATGCCGGCGTGGAGCGTTTAAAGGTTAGTGGGGATTTGCCGACAGCTCAGTACGGACCGGGCATTGTCATACACAAACATTATTTGTACACTATTGGCGGCACGACGGGATTCGATTATTCATGCGATGTGTACCGCTTGGATTTGCTCACCAAGGTCTGGGAGAACGTATACATATGTCGGCCGGAGATGCGTGACGATCCGGAGGGGCGTTATCGGCACGAGGTCGTCTACGATGGCAAACACATCTTTGTGCTCGGCGGCGGCACCTCAAACTCGGTGTACGATCTGCAGCGCATACCAGCCTACAATTTGGATGCAAATAGCTGGGATTATTTTGATACGCTGCCGGATCGCAAGAGTGGGGCCTGGAGCCAGAACGACAAGGGCTACCCGAGACCGCGCAAATGCTTCTCCTGTGTGCAGCATCAGTCCTCCAACGGCGACATCGAAGCTTTTATTACCGGTGGACTGCAGGTGAGTCGCAGAAACAATTTAGTGCATCTCCTTTCAAGCAACACTAATTTTGACATATTTCTTCTCTTAGGGTGATTTCTCGACGTATTTCTCAGACATCTGGAAGCTGAACTTACGCACCAAGCAGTGGTCAATCATACAGACGGCCAGCTTGCCACGTCCCTTGTACTTCCACTCGGCGGCACATTCGGACAATGGCTGCATGTATATCTTTGGCGGCATTGAGTACAACGATAAGGAGACATTGAAGCGCCGCAATGATCTCTACAAGATGTGGATGACCATACCAAAGCTAAGCGAAATATGCTGGGATGCTATCACCTATTACAATGATAATCTCGATCTGTACGATCGCCAGACTCTGCTCAGTGTCGGTATACCCAAGAGCTTTACAGATCGTCTGCCCGCGCAGAGACCGGACGTCGTGAATGGGGACCCGAGCGCACCTATAGTGACATCATTGTACTCGATTGCGAAACGCGCCCGATCCCAAATGCAATAATTGGCTAACTTCAGGAGCTTTTTATCCCAATCCCTGCCCAAAAATAAAGTTGTGAATTGAGAATGTGGCGTGAGTGATTGCCCCTGTGTTGTTGGAGCTATGTTCGTTTTCGTTTAAATTGAAAAACAAAACAAAAGGAACAAAAACAGGACATTATTTAGTTTTTTGAGCGCGCGCTGTGATCGAATACGAAGGACATTTATATTTATACATGTGTGTATTTTAATATTTCGTAGACTCGAATTGAAAGGCGAACATGTTTAGCATGTAAATAAGACGTAATTTAGTTTAGATAGCGGAACAAGACAGAAAGACAGGAGGCAATTAGTATGGAAACTCTAAACAATAACAAAAGAACAGTCAGCGCACAACCCACGAGTCCACAAACCTACACTCACGTAAGACCCATAACTATGGCCATACGAATACATAATACCAGTATATACTTTCGAGTATTGCTGTATTCCTCACACCCACGCACCACCCCCCCTGCTGCACTTGCAGAATTTCAAACACAGCCCCGACTAACCCCCGAAGGCTACACCAAACAATGTCATATAGAGGAAGTATGTGCCAGAGGCAGGCAGTTAGCGAGAACCTTTCGTTTCGCTGGTGTGCCAATACATAGAGATAAACGTACATACATACTTCCAATGTATTTTTTTTGTCAAAGTGTACATAATATATAGATATAGTAATATTTAATTATTAAACTAAGTTTTGCGTCTTTATTGCGGCATCTTCAGCCCAACATTAACACAAAGTTTGCTCGATATTATAATATATAACATAATAGCCCAGGCTACAAATTGGTTCATTCTAAGTTAATAAACGTTTTTAATGTAACAATATTTTCTTGGATATTGGCAATTGCGTCTTAAATCGCAACATTGTTACGCATTTCCCCCTCCCTGGCGCCTATTACGCCGCTGTTGACCCAATTCGCGGCGACGACGTCAATTCATAAATCCGGCACTGCATCGAGTCCGGGGTTTTAGAGCTGCGTCATGCGCATTGCGCAAATGCACCCCAGAAACTATGCAAATGGAAAACCAGGTAAGCATTGGCATTTTTAGACTTTTCTTGGTGTGGTGGATAACCAAAACTGTTGTTGTTGTCCTTCGTAATGAGTTCGCACGTTAAAATGCGTAAAAGGGCCATGACCTGGTTTATCTGGATCTAGTACGTCCTAATGCATTTGAGTACTATTATCAGCGTAACAGCCGGAAATTATGCTTTTAAAGAGATATACACATTTTGATCTGTTTTCTTGTATGACATTTATTATTTACTTAATACTAATCAAAATATGTTTATGTTTTAGGTTAGGTTTTAAAGAAGAGTTTTTTAAAGTTTGCACTATGTTAAGCGACGCGCCATTCTGTTAGCTGAGTAATAGCTCTGTTAACTGCACATATGTTGTGTCATCTTTTACGGTGAATGTCAAATCTGTTGGGGCGTACATTGTTTGTTGGTTTAATAAAAGATTTAAGTATACAAAATGCTAAAACCCAAAGCGCTTACCCAAGTTTTAAGCCAGGCAAACACGGGCGGAGTCGAGAATACCCTGTAAGTGTACACCAGTCCACAGTACAGCAGACAAATAACTTTTTGCCACTTGCAGTCTGCTTAGCCAGGAGGGCGCTCTGCTGGCCTACTCCGGCTATGGAGATAAGGATGCACGCATAACGGCAGCCATTGCAAGCAATATCTGGGCTGCCTACGAAAAACATGGCCGCAATGCGTTCCGCGAAGATCGTCTGACCTTTGTGCTGATTGACTGCGAGTGCGGGCATGTGGCCATCACACAGGTGGGTGGTTGTCTCCCTTTAGCTAGGAGTTGTCATACTCTGAACCTATTGAAAATTGTAAAAAGGGTATTATGTATTTGTGCAAATGTATGTAACAGGCAGAAGGAAGCATCTCCAACCCATAATGTATATACTCTTGATCAGCATCAACAGCCGAGTCGATCTAGCCATGTCCGTCTGTCTGTCCGTATGTATGAATGCAAGGATCTTAGAACCTATAAGAGCTAGAGACTTGAAAATTTAGCTGTAGGTCCTCCTAGTCCATGCGCAGATCTAGTTTGTTTCGATAATCGATAACTTAATCCGTTTACAATATGTTTACTCTAGAACAGTATATATATATCAAGTATCTTTAATTTTATACCTATCGCCACCTCCCCGCTTCTACCTCATAGCTATAAATGAAGTTAATAAGTCAACTTATATTGCCAACTTGTTTATTTTATTTATCTTTGTTACTACTAAAGCAAAAGAGCGCGTAACGCGAGCTGAATTTGGTGTTGGAATAAGAGGGTTCAGGGTATCCCCTAGTCGGGAGCTTCCGACTAGAACCTCTACTTGTTTTTGTATGTATTGATTAAATGCTGCAGGTGGCCAGTGTGCTGTTGTGTCTCTATGCTAAGGAGCATGTCGGCTTGGGCATGCTAAAACAGAAGACCATGTCGTTGGCTGCGTATTTGGAGAGGCCGCTCAAGCAAATATCTGCATCCTAACGAGCGAAAGAGCAATCATAGCCTCGATTTCGATTAGTTTTAAGTTTAATTCCTGTTTTGTAGTTGATAAACATATAAAGTACGTTGATAGCTTTTGGATCGGAAATAAAGAAGAGTCTGGTTTATTTACGCGGAAATTGGTTTACGCACAAGAGCGGTTAAATATGTATACATATATTTATAAAATGTTGAACTTATTGCTAACTATGGATCGCCGTTTGCTTAAATTAAACAAGCCGCTTTTATTCGATGGCATATAGCTTCAAGGTGCGATCCATGCTGGTGGAGGCAATATACTGCGCATGTTTGCCAAACCGAACGCCGGTGGCCAGTGCCGTATGGTCGTTGAATACCTTCAGATCCTGCCACTGCTTACACAAGTAAACCCTGTAAAATGTAAAAGAAAAATGTAATCAATAAGCTTTTGCTGTGCCTAGCAACACGGTAAACAAGCGCTCAAATCAATTTTCTTAGTGTCTTTGTTTTAATAATGAAAAGATTTAAAAGAAAAATATACCGCAAATATGAAGGTAAGCTAAAAAAAAAACATTCAAACATCTGTAGACAAGTAACTAATAGTCCTTTCCCACAGATTACATACGACCGCAGGACTATTTGGAACCGGACGCACCAAAACCCATCAACCTCTGTATTGATGACTTTAATGCGGTAAAAAAACTATTGAAGCATGCTTCATATAACTCGACTGATTCTTTTTCTATTACAGCGCGGCGAAGTTGCAAATCCGCGTGCGCCTTGTGTGGTAACCACCATAGATCCAGATTATATCAAGGATGCAGGTCTGCAGCGTCTGGCCAAGAAGTTTCGCATGAAAACGTGTGTTATCCACATTTCTGTCTTATCTTTCGTGTAGTTAAATATTTTCTCTTTAAAGTGATATATTACTGCTACGTGAGATTACGCGCAATAAGTTCATGTGCTACTCCACGCAGGAAATGTTTTTGGATAGAAAACGTGAGGTGGAGCACCACAACAGGCTATACCAGGAGGCGGAGGAGTTTCACAAGTTGGCCGACAATGTCTTGAAGCAAATGAAGGCAAACGAATTTAAGAAAATGCTAGAGGCACAAGAAAATCTAAAGAAGCTGAAAGAGAATAAAGTGGCCGAGGAGCTCAACCAGGTGAAGCTGCAGCATCAGCGTGTGCTTATGGAGGTGCAGGAGATCTACGGGCGCTTTCAGTACTTGCTCAAGCTGATAAGCTACTTTGATGACACGTTGGAACAGCAGTCGGAGCAGTTGGACAACAAGCTGACCATGCCCGAGCACATAATCAACATGGAAATTAGCGAACGTCATCCGGCTGGCCTTGAACAGGTGCAGCAGGTTAAGGAGTATATGGAGCATGTGATTCGGCCGTATTTGGAGAAGCGCAATCACTTAAATGCTGATATTTGGATCAAAGGCTACGAGCGAAATCGCCTGAAGGTGTCCAACTACAACAAACGTTTCACACAGCTGGCGCTTCTCAATCACATTGTGTGCATACTCCACGACAAGGCGGTGAGTGTTTGGGGTTTCCTATTAGCAGCACAGCTTTATTTTCACTTGATTGCAGGAGAAGACACAAAAGCGAAATGCGAGTGCCGTGGTCTTTCTCAAGGATCCAGAATTTCTGCAACGCCGCGTGGCTGCACTGCAGCAACGCGCCCACGAACTCTTCGACGATTACGAGCAGTCGTACTGCAAGGAGTAAGTCTGAGCTTAGAGTAAATGCAAGAGATATTTAAAGCATATTATTTTGTTCTTTCTGCAGCAAGCTGAGCTTCAAATTGAATAGCATTGTGCCCGTGATTCTGAAACAGTTGCAGAACAAGGTGCAACCGGCGCAACTGCCAAGGAAGGAAGCAGCCAAGACGCCGCCACAAAAGTCCTCCAAGCAGTGGCGTACACTGGAGGACATGCGCACGCCAGCGGCCAACACAACGAGCTCTATCTACAAAGACGAACAAGACACAACGCTGGCTAAAGTGGAGAAAATACAGACATTTGCATTGGTAGGTGACAGCTCCTTCCATATAAAAGCCAAACAGTGTTAAGAACGTTAACTTTTTATATAGGAGCTGCTGCGTAAACTGGATGCCATACCGCCGGCTGATCTGCGCAGACTTGAACAGCGCGTGCGACGGCGCATGGCTAAGCAAACGGAGATGTCGCGCCGTGCGCTGGTCAAACAGAACAGGCTACACAACTGGATGGAGCACTTTAAGAAGCACCATCGCCTGCAGCAGGCAGAGCGCAACAAACATAAGGTTTAAACGTATAACAGGTATATATATTAATAAAGTAAGGCTCACCTGACATCAGTGCCGGCAATGGCCAGATATGTGCCGCTCTGATCGAAGCACAGATCCTTGACCTCGTAGCCATCGTCTAGTTGTATGGTCTTGAAATTCTTTAGTTTGCGCAAATCCCACAGCTTTACGCATGCATCGTCCGCTGCAGTGGCCAGATAGTAACCGTTTTCAGAGAACGATATGGCCGAAATGGGGCCGGTATGACCAGGGAAATTGGCCACATTGCTCTGCTCCTTCAGATCCCAAATCTTTACTTGAGAATCAACGGTGCCAGTGCCAAAAATCAGACCATCCGGATGGAATTGAGCGGTTGTCAGGCCCACCTCAGCCGTGTCGATGACCTTTGTCAGCAGGCGTCCAGTGCGTATGTCCGAGAAGGCCCAGTGCTTGTCCGAAGATGTGGACAACAAGTAGTCGCCCGTAGGATGCAGCGAGAGTCCTGTGACGGGCCCCTCGTGACAGCGCAACAAGAGCTGCGTTTGCGATGTGGGCACATGCCAAATGCGTATGTTCATGTCTGGTGAGCCGGTGATGACAGTGTCCTCGTTGGGATGGTATATGACCTTGGTGATTTTCTTGGTATGGCCCTTCAATATTGCCACAACTTGTTCCGTGTCCTTGTTGAATACAGTAGCATTTTTATCATTGCCTCCAGTCAAAATCTTGCTGTGATCGGCGCTGTTTATGTCCAGAGCCAAAATGCCAGGCACAGATGCCGAGTGCAGGCCTGGACGCGAGGCCACCGTGAGGAAGTTCTTCACTTGATCTGGTGTGACCAGTTCCTCGGGCACCGTCCGTCCACGCTTTTTACGCTCCTGTGTCAGCACAGTGGCTTTGTCCTGCAGCTTCTGTATGACCTCGGCACTCATGCCGGCCTGCTCCATTTGGTGAGCTCCACCAGCACCGGCTTCCGAGGCAAGAGCCGGCTCTGAAATCATCGATGGCGCATTCACTATGCCCGCTTGAGGCTTCAGCGTTGCCAGCGCCTCGCGCGCCGCCGTCAGCTCTTTCTTCAGACGCGCAATGACACGGCAGGCGGCATCATGTTGATAGAGCGCATGTGACAGCTCCTGACGGGTGGTCTGCAGCTGCTGGCGCTGGGTAAACGAGTGTATCATCAGCGCATCCCACTCGTCCTGCATGGTTTTCAGTGTCGCCGGTATGCTGGTGGCGCTGGGTGGCTTTGGCTTCACTACTGCTGGCGTTTTGATTTCAATCAGTTCCTCTTGCTTCAGCTCCTTGCCACAGATCGGATCGCAGCCGTTCTCCAGAATATACTTCTCAATGACGCGTCTTTCGAAAACGGCGCCCGAGTACGGCGAGACCACAGGCGACTCGGGTACCTCGTTTGTAACTGAAAGAGTGTAAATTAATTGAAAAAAAAAGAATGTGCACTCTAACTGGGAGCAACTTACGTGCACAAACCAAAGCCATCGCGACAAGTATTTAAACGTTTTCCGTCGATTAAAATACGTTTTATAACTTTTACACACGTTTTCCAACAGAAACAAGCGCAAAAATTGTCGGCAAATGAAGCTTCTTCCCAATCTGAAATTCGCCACGCAACGCGAACGATTCCACATATCGATAACAAATCAATCAACTCGTGATGACTGGCATAGTTGGACTCGCGGTGACTGGCAATAGTGCGGCCCATCAGCTGTTGCTATTATTTAAGTTACGCGTGCTTCAGTTTTCCCTTCAGCTCTGTATATTTTGTAAATTATTAATAGAAACATGCTAAAAAACCTAGTGCATTGGCGAGCAGGCAAATTTCTGCTAAATGGAGTCTCGCGAGCTGGAGCGACGCGCTGCCTATGTACTCCATTTAAAACTCAGACACATGAAGGTGCCGCCCTGGGGGATACGGAGCCGGCAATTAGGAAACATGTGAATCCCTTTGCACAAACCACGTCCACACCACTGCCAGATAATGGAGTAAATGAATCTAAAGAAGAACGCGATAAGAGGCTGAAGGTATTGCAGCTGGAAGCAGACATAGCACATCAGGAGGGACGCCGCGTGCCAGCCTTAGACTTCTTTAAGGAGCACCACTGGGCGCACGTGCTGACACTTCCATCGAAATCGGCACGAATCAAATACTATGCATTTCTTTGGCAAATCGAAATGAAAAAAGAGTCGGAGCAACGGAAAAAAGCGCTGCGCGCCGAGGGCACAGAACGCCGCATAGCCGAGATGCGCAAGGAGCGAGAGGAGAACACACACATCATCTATGGACTGGCACACACATCCATGTTCCTGCGCATCTACGACTCGACCATCAACCATTGGCAGAACAATCGTTTGACACGGGCCATGCAATTCGCGCCCAAAATTGTGCTCGACTGTTCCTACGATACGCACATGACCAATCGGGAAGCCTCGTATGCCGCCAAGCAGCTGATGCTGTGCTTTGCCGAGAATCGTGCCCATGACGAGCCCTTCGATCTGCACTATTGCAATGCAAATTTTAAGGGGCGCTGCATGCAGAGTCTTGAGCGTTACATACCAACAATGCACAATCCCGAATTTCCCATGAATGTGCACAGCGAGTGTTTCACGAAGCTGTTTCCCAAGCAGCAATTGGTCTACCTGACGCCGCACTGTCGTGAGGATCTGGTCACGTACAATCCGGATGATATTTATATAGTGGGCGCCATGGTGGACACCGTAAACAATGAGCCTCTATCACTGGCCAAGGCCAAGCGCTTGGGTCTGCGCATGGCACGTCTTCCCTTAGATCACTACCTGCAATGGGGATCGGGCTCCGGCAAGTCCCTAACCCTTAACCAAATGATTACCATCATGCTGGACCTAAAGAAAACCGGCGACTGGAATACGGCCCTTCAGCATGTGCCACGTCGTAAGATCATCGACCTGGGCACGGAACAAGCGCAGGGTCGTCAAGCGCTCAATAGGCGCGCCAACAAGCTCAATGTGCGCATCGATCATCTGCTCAAGTACGAAAATAATCGACCCGAGTCCACGGCGTTTGCCACGCCCCAAAAGGTGCGCCAGCACAAAGAAGGGCTGGACTTTAATTTAGACAGTTGGGCAACAGGCAAGAAGAAAACGAGTCGAAACAAGTAAATATTTGAATTATTTAATATTTAATAAACTTAGGATATTGTTAAAGCCGAGACATGCCAAAAATTAACCATCGAGGGGTTATCCTGATTGAGCATCATGGTATTCACTCTCATCGGATAGCACTTCCTGTTCGTGCTCGAAATCGTTTGAAGGATCTTCATATTTTTCATTTGAAATCTCTTTATTCAGTTCATGCTCTTCCCTTTGCTCAGTCTCGTGATATTGCTGGCCCTGTTCTTCCTTCTCCTGATCTACCTGTTCCGTATTTTTACCCATTGGAGTTTCTTTAAAAACCTCCAATTGCTGCTCGTCTTGAGTCTCTTTCAGTTCTGCAGGCCGTTTATTTGAGCTTGATTCGATTTGCTGCTCATCTTGAATCTCTTCTATTTGTATTTCTGGTTTTTTATTCGCATAATCTCCCATCTCAGGCAGCTCATTTGACATCATTTCCAACGGCTCCTCTGAAAATTCATCCACACCATCTCCGGCTTCGTGTGGCGTCTTCTTATATTTCAGCTGCATATTCTTGGCATTGATTGCCTGATAGTTGATGCAGGGTCGCAAGCCCGCCTCCTTAAGAAATTCCTTGGCAGTGGCCTCGTACTTTTGTATGTGCTCCCGCCGTTCCACTGTCAGCAGCTTCGTCTCCAGCACAAACAGCGATTGTGCCCGCAGTGCGCCAAAGAACTCTTTGCTCAAGAAGCTGTAATAGTTGTAGGCCACAAAGGCCACGTCGAAAAAGTCGTGCCAGCGTGGAGCACCCTTTTGCAGCTCCATCATTTCCATGGGCGAGATGAAGTGCACCTGGACATCGGGCACTGTAATCCAGGGCTTGTCATAGCTCAGCTGCGTCTCGTTTGTGTCGCATTCGTTGTAGGTGAGCAGCGGGGTCATCAGCAGCTGCGTGGCGCCATAGCGCCGGGAGATGGTCTTGTCATGCTCGTAGACAGTTTGCGTTTGCAGCTCATGGAAGAGCTCGAGCAGATTGCGCTCGGTCACGTCTGTGGCACGAAAGTCATTCTCGCCGTGCACCGAGTGATGCAGACGCTCCTCGGAGCTGCGCAGTCCAAAGCCACAAAAGGGTCCCGTTTGTATGTCGCCCACGTAGCCGCGATGCAGATAGGCGCGTCCATTGCGGACGAGGCCGGCGGCAAAGGTCTTGTTCGGTTTGCAGTGCTCGTATTCGGGAAAGACAAACGCGACGCCGGATTCACGCCAGTAGCGATACTCCTGGGAGCAAATCTGCTGCGCCTCACGATCCTTCAGCGTCATGCTCAGATCCCAGTCAAAGGCGCCCTGCCTGTGATCGTATCGAGTACCGAGCAGAGCGCGCACTCGCTGCTCCCAGTAGCGTTGTATATCGTACACCTGCTCCTGAGGCTGCCAGTAGCTGAAGGCCATTTCCAGGCCGTCGCGCTCCTTGTACTTGAGCGCTTCGATATTGAGCATGGGCGCCAGGCGCTGCAGCTGCTCCCCATCGCAGATCATGTTGAGCAGAGTGCGCGCCTTGGCGGCCACATAATGATGCGAGCTGGGACGCATCAGCGAGTTGCCATAGATGTCCATGAAGAGATGTGCCTTGCACACAAGACTAAACGAATCGGGCGGCTCCAGTGCCAAGCCCAGCAGCAGCATATTCCTGGCCATGATCTCCACACAGGCGTCCAGCAGATAGATATTCAGCTTGGGCTTAACGGCGTGCGTATAACGCTTGGCCAGCGTCCGGATCACATGTCGCGGATCGGCGCCGCCGCAGATGAGCATATTAAGCTCAGCGGGCTGGCCCTCAGCCTCAGCTGCGCCTGGCTCATCTGGCAGCTTAAAGGCCTTGATGTACTCCTGGTACAAGTCCAGCGCCGAGCTGAGTCCCCAAAACATTTTCTGCTCGCTTTAAACGAAAACTACAAGGAAAATTCTAGCTTTGATAGCTGCCACTGCTGCTGCCTCATTTGCTGCTGCTATTTATTTGATTGACATCAGTTGCCCGGACGACTAGCTCCATTGGCCAGCAAGCTGTTGCCTGGCAACGTCTTGGCATGTTTAGCATGTCCTCTATTTGACACACCCCTAGGATAGAGGGGTACTATTCCTAAGTCATCACATTTGTTACGCACAATGGCAGACATATCCTTTCCCAAAAACTCTATATATTTCTGAACAGTATGAACAGTCGAGTCCATCTAGACATGTCCATCTGTCCATTTATCGGTCATAAATTAAGTTTTTGTATGGAAACCTTTTTTAATTTTGAAAGATTTCGTTGCCAAACTTGGCATCTACATCAGCAAAATCTTGTCCACATCGGTGCACTATATTATATAACTCTATGCGAAGAATCACACGCACACATTTTAGTTTTTCAAGATATCTTAACATCGAGGCACTTCTTAATCAAGTGCAAGGGTATTTGGTGTTCGGCGTGTCGATATTGACCGAGATTCTGTCTTGTTTGCATTGCATTCGTTGTGTGGATTAGAGGAGCGCGTTTCAGTTCAGAGCGGAAATTGGTTTTTGATATCTGCCTGCCTGCAGTGCATCGGTCCAAGTCAAATGTGGGAGACAGCCAATCGCCCCAGCGGGTGGCTTGGACCATCCAGGATATGCTGAGAAGCTGGGCATAATCGTAATGCATTATTCAGCGCTCGGTTGGCTGCTTTTAGCTGATTGCCACTGTGACGCCAATTCCGGCGGGCATTGCACTTGGCAAGCAGCTTAAATAAAAACACATAACTGAAATGTGCGCGAGAATAACTACTTATTAAAATGATAAATATTATTGAACGTAATTTCCTTCAGGCAACAGTATTGTTGTGTCTTTGTTCTTCGCCAAATTGATTTGGCCATAAAACTGATGTCAGCTATCTGCAGCTTTTTTGTTTGTTTTGCTTTCCCTAAGCGTATTCACGCTCTGGGACCAAAAAGCTTTTAATGCATTTTCCGCAAAATGTACACAGACAAACGAAAATTATGCATGCCGTTGGGAATGGGAATGCGCATGGGAAGGGGGCTGGCCAAGTGGCTTACTTAATCTTCATTCGCAGTTGGCTTGTGTAATATCTGCTAGTAGTTTCTCTTTTTGGCTCAACTTTCGCTTGACAAAGCTCCAAAACTTCTTAATACATACTTATTGTTGGACCCAAAGTCCACAGACTGCAAACTTTTTGGCAGCAGGTCGCCTTAATTGCGTGTGTGTCTTTCAGCACACGCTGCGTATGCGTGATGTGAGCTGTGAGCTGCGATTAGTGTTGCGAACTGAGCTATTTTTCAGCTAAATTTAGCTATTCGCAGGGGTGGTCAGTCTGAAATAGATTTGGCACCAAGTTTAACTTTATTCAGATATTTTTGGCATATCTATATATCGGGCATAATAGTGCCTTTTCTGTGCTTTAATTTTTATGCTTTAAGCTATTTTCAACACTGGATTCAGCTACTTTTTTTAAGCAACAGCTAGCAACACTGGCTGTGAGCCTCGAGCTGTCTGCAGCATTGGTTCCGCCCGCCCCGCCTTGCCCCCTGCCCCATGCAGCTGCAATTATGCTGTTTGAGAGTCGCTCGTGCGTCTAATGCACAATCTAAGCACAAATATATCTGCCAAATGCTGAACTGATGAGAATTCGGTAAAGCTGGCAGCATATTGCTGGCTCAAACAGTTTGCAGCTGGTTGTTGTTGTTGCGGCCAGATTGCTGGCTCTTGTTAGATAGTTGTTGTTGTTGCTGTTGTTGCTGCTCAATTAGTCAGTGTAATGGCAACTGCTGGCATAGCCATGCACTTGATTTGACTGCGGTTCAATAAATACGAGCACAAAGGCGCACCGAATGCCATTCAAGCGGCACACAATTCATCACAGCATCAGTTTTCAATGAATGTCCCTGGCACCAGCACAACACGACTCGGCATGCGGTTGCTGGCTAAAACAAAAGTAATTAGAAGACTGCGCGCCCTGCGGCAGACTCGAAATGGCTAAAAAAAAAAATCCCGGACAATGGCCAGTAAAAAAAAAAAATTAAAAAAATGGGTTAGTTAAGCGCTTGCGGTTGCCACGATTTATAAGCAAGGCCAGCCAAATTGTTAAAGGGCATGCCAGAGCTTAGACAAAGCCAACTTTGGGCTATACTAAGTATACATCCGTGTGCTTAATTCCACTTTAGAATTAATTGCAGACCAAACTGTAAAGGCTGCCAATGTTCAACAGAACAGTAAAGCTTTGCTTTTGTTATGCTGCGAAATTGTTTCACAGGCGTATTTAGAAATATGAATACAAGTGCAGAAGTTCGTCAATTAAAGCATTTCAAAAACTTTAGGCTTTAGGAAAACTGATTTTATTCGCCAGTAAAAGCGATAATTATTGCTGTTAAATTGTTTCACAAGTGAAACTAGCAGCACGAGTGGAAATGTTGCAGAATGTCAAATACATATGTTCTTCTATTTAACACAACGTTGAGCAACTGAACCAAGAATTGCTGCTTATATTCACAGCTCAAATCTAAGCAAAATTTCCGTTTCTCTTTCACAAGTGGAATTAGAAATACGTGTGAAAATGTTGCAAACTTGCAAAATATATCCACCATCAAAGTCATTGCAAATTGTAATCTTTCGCAGCCAGCTGCTCTGTTTCCTTGTGCAGGCTATCTGAAAGTCAATTACACTCTCGTTAGCTTTATTCCTGTATTCATTCATGCACATAGATCGTTATTCCTTATGACTATGTATTTGGTTCAGAGGTCAACATAACAATTGCAATGTGCGTGTCACATGCGACTTTGATGCGGCCAAACAAAAGTTTGAATACGACTCGATACGGACGAGCATGTTCAGCTGTGTGTGTGTGTGTGTGTGTGAGTGTGTGAGTGTGTGATAAGGATTTGTTTTTCCTCTTTATTGTGCGTTTCTCTATGTATGTGCTTATGTAGCAGCAGCAGCGCCCGAAATTGGTTTTGTGTTTCCTCAGCTCAGTTGTCTGCTCACATGACGCCCACATTCACATTTGGGGCTCAGGTTGCTCTCAGCGAACACTCGGGCTCGGTTATCCCCGCCCGCATATCAGCACATCTCCCCAACCCGCTACCCTACCCACCTACCCCAGTCATTGTCAATGTTTTCACGCAAACTTTTCTCATTAGGCAGTGCAAACAAAATGGCTGAGTCTGCGGCTCTCTGCTGTGGCCCACTTTGTTAGCTGTTTGACATCAACCAGGCCAGAATGGTGTCATAATGGCCAATAAAGCAACATGGAATACATCATTAAATGCTGTCGATCAAAGTGTTGCAAATTAATCGTTCCGATTCGAGTTTTGGCACATGTTTATATAAACATACATATGTCTGTGTGTGAATGTATGTGCACTATAATCAAATGCATAAATTAAACGTTAAGCAATTAGCTTCTATCATTAACAAAGTTCTCGACGACAGTCGCATCATTAATATTGTTCTAGTGATGTTTAGCAGGGCTGTAAACCGTCAAAAATAAAGTCAGTGGTTCAGTTCGTAACTTTCAGGTTCGTTTCGGCATTCGGAAATAATAGAATTTCCAGATTCGAATCAGCTGCGTTCCCGTTTATCCCTCCTTGCTTTCAAATAAAAGACAATTTGATTTGTTTTTGCTGTTTTCCAGTAAAGTTTAGTTTAATTTTGTAATAGACATAGACAGTGTGTTCTACTTAGCACATGCTCCGACTGGGATCTCAAAGGACTCTCACATATGTATACATATCTATATACTATATATACTACGAATTGTTCGGTTGCTTTGGGGGCCTACAATAGCTCAATGTGGGTTACACTTAAAACTACATATTTTATCGTATCGGGGGAGTTCTTAGTTCTTAGGTTAAGGATTAAACAAGTTCACATGTCGCATGCGTAGAAATATGTGTAGAAATATCGTTTTGTGTTAAAACATTTCTCGGTTTGTTTTTTTGTTTTTCCCTTTTCTTTGTTTTTTTTTTTTTTTTTTGTTCTAAGCAAGAACTTCTGATTGTCAGAGAGTTATTGAAGTTATCTAGGGTGCGTGCAGAACTGATAGCAAATTAATTGTGCGCTTAGAACAGAGTTTAGGCTTAAACTAATGCACAGTTATACAAATATTTAAACGCTTTGCTATGGATATGTGTTAAACAATTCATATTTTGTTTTTCTCCATATTGCACACATACATTATTAATATATACAATGCTGAACAGATCTGAAGTCAAATGTGCTGCAAATGTTTACACTTCTTTTGTTTTTTTGTTTGAGTAAATATTTTCCATAAATTGATAGTTTTGTGACATATTAATATTGTGACAATTACAGTTTTATTTCTGCATTTTGTATCTTTTTGTTTATTAAGCATAGTTACGCTTTTAACCCCTTCAAGTTTTGTGGTTTGCATTTGGTTTTTTCTCGATCATATCTCTACAATCTATATATAAGTATGTATACATATGAATAACAACATATAGCTCAAGTTATTATTATTTATGAGTACATAAAACACACTCTACAACATTAAAATTTCAAAATGGCTCACTTATCATGTATGCTAGGTTCTATATAAAGTCTGAGACGGTGGTTTTTGCTTTTTAGAAACTACAGACTACAATTTTGTAAAGGGGCAAAAACCAAGCAAATCAAAATATTGTTGAGTTTAACTCGCTCTCTTTAAACAAACCTAAGCTTAATTTCAAAAAAAAAAAAAACAAAAAAAAAAACAAAAAATTAAATGTAAATAAATGATTAAACTTTAGGAAATATTTAACAGATCACTTGGAAGGGAGAGTCTAGGTTGCAGCTAGTTGCTCAAGTATTGCTTACCATTTAGAACATTTACTTATTAGCTAGTGTAATTAACCTTTATACGTATTTTAGCCAGTGCGCCTTACAGCTTATCCTTTGTGGTATCCTCCTCCTCCTGTAGCGAAATGATCTGTGGCAGGCGTGCGTGAGATGCAAGAAAATGTTATATATTATATAGTTTATGTTTATATTTTTAATTTCAATTAAATATTCAGAGCGAGAGAGAAATGCGTTGACTGTTTTGCTAGGCTTTAAACAGAATTTGTATTGATTATGGTTTATTGTTCGACTACAGTTTAGCGTAACTAACTAAGAGAAACTAAATAATCAGTTGCAGGTGAACGAAAAATAATCAATGTGAATGGAACCGCGCACAGTTCCATTTTCAGGCAATTTAAATTCGTATAGCTGGGTGTATAAGCTACGCTCTAGAGATCTATGGACAAATAGTGGTATAATTCTATATATATATATATGCAGATATGCAGATATGCAGCTAGATATGCGTCTTGTATAGTATATAAACTAGCGGCTGCTTTGATACTTACTTCAGCTCATTCGCAGCTCCGTTTGCAGCGGGTGGGCGTGGCCAACAACTAAGTACAATCTAAGATATAATTGCATATTCTTGCTTGTTTTTTGTTTCTTATTAGATGTGTAGTTATTTGATTATTTACTTCATTTTATATATATATATATATTTAATATAATTATGTAGAGCTCTCAAAAATATTTCAGCACTTGCAGTGAGGTATGCTTGTATCTTTGAAAGGTAATACGGATTTGAAACGTGACTAAACCGATTTTGTAACCCTCTACTAGATTAGTTTTTGTGTGAGCCTAAAAGAACTCGTCGAAATCGTCTAGAAAGTACAAATTGATCAATTTAGTTTGTCGTATAGTAAAATTGATGTGTGTGCAACATGTCGGGCACAGAATTGATCGGGTTCGGTGCTCGAATTGAAATTTCATTTCCACCTGGGTGTGAGTAGGAGGGTGGAAAGTGCTGAGAATTGCAGAGAGAAGCTTGCATGCCAAATAAGATTATAAACAAAATTGTATTGAAGTAGAAAAACGAGTTATTTAGTTTTAGTTGCTTTCGGTTTAACTTTTTCGGGGGTTTCTAGGCAAAACTTTTGTATTTAATCGTAGTTTTAGCCAAGTGCTAAATTGTAGTTTTTAAAATTTAGTTATTTGATTATTTATCTTTCGCTGGCGTAGCTGTGTTGTTCTTGTTGTTGTTTTTACTGTTGGTATTGTTGTTGTTGTTGTTGTTGTTGTTGTGGGGCATGCTGCAGTGAGCTACGGGAACTGGTTTTCAAACTGGTGGAGGCTGATGGTGGTTGGTGGTGGTGGTTGGTGGTTCGTGGTTGGCAGTTGGCAGTTGGCCGTTGACGTTGGTTAAAAATGAAAAAATTTAGTTTCATTTCATTTTGGCAGTTGTTGTTGCTATTGCCAAAACGCGCGCACACACACACACACACGCACACGCACAAACAGAGAGAGAGAGAGGAAAAGAGAGTATAACCAACATTTTGCATTGCGAACGCAACAAAATTTAACAAAACTTGAACAAATTCTCAAAATTTATTAATATATATATATATAGATATTTAATATATACACATCAAGAGAAGAAGAGTGGTGTGTGAGTGAATGTGTAAGAGAACGGGCATAAAACTTTCGATTTCAATCAATATGATGACTTTTACTTAAGTAGTTCGATATATAAGCATGGCATCTAGTTACATTTACATATGATACAAAAGTTTTTAAATTCCTTTTCTTCTTTCTTTTGCCTGCTTTTTCCAGGTGTGAGGGCGGAGCTTAAGCAAAGCATGCCTGAAGTGTTCAAACAGAACTGAGGAACTGGAGAAACACAGCGCTTACCTCCTCGACCGTGTGCACAGCATTGTGGAGTTATCGGATTGATTCATTGCATTCGCAGGATATTGCAATTACAGTGCAGTTTATTGATTGATTTTAATTCAATTAAATGACGCGATTGAATTGATTAAAAACATTGCAAGGCGTGTGGCATGTGGCATGTGCCACACACCATTTACGTTTTGTAACATTTTATCGAGTTAATCGTGCTGAAATTCTATTGATGGCAATTTATGGCGCCCATATCAAATAAATAATAGCATTTTAAGCGCTTTGAACACCACGTATATTCGATTTAAGTCCCAGACAAAAACACTTCGCTGAAGAGTAAAAACTGCACTTTAAAAAGCACTTACCTTTTTTATTAAATTGGTTTTCTCTATCCATTGTATAATACACAAAGCATATGTATAGTATGTATATAGAAAAAGCTACGCATACAATTAGCATACTTTATTAAATAAAAATAGTACTAGCTACTCATAACTACCCTGCAGGATATATTTTAAGTAGCTTACAAATAAAAATGCATCAGAATTAGTTTATAATTGTGACAAAAATAAGATGCATTAAAGTATATTTAAGTATAATTGTGTAATATCCAAAACAGAATGTAATTGCATAGTTTGAGCATATTTTCCAATTCCTTACAAAAAATTTGAAAAAATGGACTTCAAGATGTTAAACTATCATTTCCTGGAAAGATTTTAGGTCTCGATAAATTGTCAATTAATGTTTTTAAGGTACATTAATTTGTCCCGGCTAAATGTCTGCGCTATGGCGAGTTTCTACTTTTAAGCCCAATCGGGTACGTCTCTGGCCGAAGAGAAAATCAAATTCGGTTCCTAGATGACCCATAATATCCTTGGTTTTCACATACCATTGATAGAGTCCTGGTGAACCTACAAAAATATGAATGTGTGCTGTTTCCCCCAGCCGTCCCCCCTATGCCCCCTCTCCCTTTATGGTTCTTAGATGACCAATATATCCTTGGTTTTACCATATCATTGATATAGTCCTAGTGAACCTTTAGTTCCAAATTCCGGCAAAATTCGCTTAAAAGCTTTATCCACAATTAAAATTAGGTTTAAAAATTAACGGTCATTGACATTGCCCTGGGCCCGGCCGTTGGCTCACATTTTTAAATCAAAATTCAGCTGAAATACCAGGCGAACAGAAATGAGCAGCAGGTAGATGACTTGCAAGTTTTTTAACAGTTTACTGTTAAACAACTGTTATTTAACATTTCTCTGTTAAGTCGCTGTTAGTTAACATACCACTGTTAACAGCCGCTGGACGGCGGCCAACGGCGGAGATATGTCGTTTTGAAACGACATATCTCCAGGCGGACGTATGACGTTTTTAGAGCGGCGGAGATTATGTCGTTTTGAAACGACATATCTCCCGCGGACGTGTGAAGATATTTTTTCGAAAACTTTAAATGGCCATATCTCGGCCAAATAAAGCCCGATTGCGGTCAAAAAGGGAGGGGTTTCTCGCGTAGGTCCATAGAATCGAATGCTATCAACGTTTATCGAATTCGGAAAAATGTCATTTTTCGAAAAAACGTGATGGTTACACTGTATTTTTGGTCAATTTGGGTCATCTCTTAGAATGTGGATTTTTGGGTGGCAATCGATGGTCGGGATCCGTACGAATAGAAAGAGGTATATCACTTCGAGATCGGACTGTATTTAGCCGAGTTATTCGCATTTTAATATTTAATCATTTTTTCTGCAAGGTGTATATTGTGAATGGTTTATTTTTATGAGCGGACCAAAAGTATGCTTTAGAAAAGCTACGAATTATGTGGACATCACAAAAGTATGCAATGCTTTCCTTTACTTTTATGTCACACAACCACACGCATTTATTCGAAAACTTTAAATAGGCATATCTTGGCCAAATAAAGCCCGATTGCGGCCAAAAAGAGAGGGTTAAGTCGCGGAGGTCCATGGAATAGGTTGGCATAGTTATTGATTTCAGAAAACAAGTTATTTTCCGAAAACAACGTCAGCCACAGAATTCTGTAAAAGGGGTACTGAAAGCAAAAAGCATACATATTTCTGGACCGTTTCCGTGCGCATTTGCAGGAATTTGGTCCTTTAGGTTCACTAGGACTATATCAATGACATGGTATGACCAAGGATATGTGGGTCCACTAGGTACCATCGAGGGGTGAAACTGCTACGAGGGGGGGGGGGGGGGGGGGTGGAGATATATCGCGGCCAATTAAATATGTGAAGGTCCAGACATCAGATTGGGGGCTTTGAACGTGTAGGATTCTTAAAATATATAGGCATCAAGAGATATTTAAGCTCTAATGTTTTCGAAAACTTGAAGAAATCACAAGATACATTCTTATAAAGGTTTTTGGGATAATCTAAGGGTCTTACAGTTTTACAATTTTATTTTAAAATAAAAATAATAACAACAAAAAAAAACAAAATAATGATAATATTCATTGCTGATTAAAATTATATTATTATTAATCTATAATTATTTATGCTATTGCCAACGTTCTTAAAAACATAATAAAATAAATGAAAATCTCGAATTTCTACTTGGCGCAGAAGCTACAAGGACGATCTGAACGCCCCGACTAGGACAAATTGCTTCACAGTGTGTATAATAAATACAACTTGTTTACAAAATTAGGAATAAATATATTGTACAGCATGTCTAAGCCGAAATGCACAGTTCACTCCAACACACAACTGCGACTAGCTCCGCTTGAGAAGCAGCCTGTTCAATTCTGATAAGAAACCATTTGGCTTTCCTGCAGGGTACGCATGGCAAAAGGAGTTTTATACAAAGCAAAAGGTGCTAGAAAATACTTAGAATAAACATAAGTTGTGTAGTGCAGTGTAGAAATTGGTTAAAAAGTAGTGTAGCGGTACGTGCGTTTGCTCTACATGTGTGGGGCAGGTCATACTGGTGGCAAGTCGTACTGGGGTGAAAGGTCGTTCATTGCGTCACACAGTCGTTGCAATCGGCGGTCGGCGGCTCGGCGGGCGTGGTGCGGACTTTTTGCTCAGATCTGCCACGAAACAGCGGCCAACGACGGCCCCAGAAGCCACAGGAGCTGGTCGAGCGGCCCAGCTTCTTGGCGGGCTCAGCTGGCGCTGGGCTGGCAACCAGGTGGGGACTGGCACGCTCCACAGCCATGGTGCCGAGAGTGGCCTGTGTGGATTGGGGATGCAGCACCAGATCGTTACGCGGTCGTCGCACCTGCCGGCAATCGTAGTTCTCCACGACTATAATGGGCGTGGCTCGTGGCAGACGATCCGGCACATTGACACGGATATGCGGCAGCAGGGACTGACATTGGCGCTGTCGGCTCTGGCTGCGACGGCGACTGCGACTGCGCCATAAATGCGGCTTGAAGCTGGGCCAGTTGAAGAACTGACGCAGCCTAACTGGACGCTCCGTTTGCAGCAGATCGCGCACCAAGTCGGGCGCTTGCTGGCCCAAGGGAGAGCAGCTGGAATTGCTGGCGCTGTTGTTGTCCTGGTTGTCATGTCTGTCGGGATTGGTTTTGTTGTTGTTGTTGTTGATGTTGTTGCTGTGGTGCGGTGGCGTGCTGACATAAAATTTGGTTTTAGTGCGAGAGACACGCAAGCTACTGGTCTTCCATGCATCGTGCAGGGTTCGGATGCCGGGCAAGCGTGCGAGCATATGGATGTGGTCGTAGGAGGCTGACAACATACCTGCGCGCTCATCCTGATACTCATCATCGTCGGAGGACTCTAACCGGTCCTCCACCAGCGACGTCTGCCGCGACAGACCCTTTTGCGTGTAAGCGAACAGAGACGAAGCCAAAGAAGTCAACATAAAAGTAAAACGAAATGAAAATTGGAAAAAAATAAAGTAGATAACACAGCTGATGAGAACGCGTCTACAAAAGCAAACTCGTGTCGCTCGTGACACGCGCGCATCACTAGGACTACACACAGGACACAGCAGACAGATGGACAGCAACCAACAGAACAGTGGGCGTGGCTAGCAACTTACCGCATTGTGACGTCGTCGAGGCGGCGAACGTTTGTTCCACAGCGCCTCCAGCTGATCAAAATGCTGGGACTGGGCGAGCGCCGCCTGCTCCGGGCCCAAGTTGGCTTGAGAGGCGCCCGTTTTGGTTTCAGCTATCTTCGAGATCTCCTCCATGCTGGCCGAGACGCTGAAGCGTCGCTTCAGGCGCTCATCCACCTGGGCCATCATCACGGAGGAGGTCAGATGGCCATATTTCTTTTGCCAGGTGTATGTATCCAGAGAGACCTCTTTTTTGAGCAGCCGCTTCATCTGCCGCTTGGGGCCCTGTGGACGCAAATCTGTCGGAGCAGCAAGAACAAGGAGTAGGTCATGGATGTGGCTGTTTAGGGGGCAATGATTCAGACTTACCTTCCACATCCTTGCTGGGACCGGAATAGGTCGGCAGCTTGACATACTGCGCTGGCGTATTATGCAAACAGATGACGGGCAAATTGTAGCTATCCACCAGCTGGACAAGCACACGGGACACCTCCAGGCTGATGTCGAAGTGCGTGAAGGGCACGTGCATCTGCAGCGAGGTAAGCGCCAAACCACGCTTCGTTTCCCACACAATTAACGTCTTGTCATCGCTGCCCGAGACAGCCGTGGAGCCTGGAAGAGACAGGAGAGGAGACACAGAAATGTATTAAGGAATTGTTGGACCTCCTGGCTGTCCAGCTGACTCACCATCGGCAGAGACCTTGACGCCAATGACAGCGCCCAAATGGCCGGCCAATGTGTGCACCTCCTCCCCCGTGAGCAGATCCCATATAATCAGATTCATATCCTTCGAGCCGGAGATGACCTGCGTTTTGTTGGTCACAGAGACGGCGACACAGGTGACCGCATCGCTGTGACCGACGAGCACCTGGCTCAGCTTGCCGCCCATCGATTGCCAGACCTTCAGCGACATATCCCTGGAGCCAGTTATAATGTGCATGCTGTCCGCGCTAATCTCGAAGCAGGTTATCTCGTCCGAGTGCGAGACGGAATACTTTTCGTCCTCCTGCGTTAGGGACCAGATCTTCAGGGTATTGTCGCCATTCGTGGAGACGGCGAAGCGCATGTTGTTGGTGGCCGCCAGTTTCTTGTACGGACCCTGTATGGTCTGGAGCAGATTGCCCGAGTCGGCCATCCACACGAGCATCATCGACTCGCGATCCGTGGAGATGACGCGCAGCGAGTCCATGAGCACCACCAGCTGCATAACCGGCGCCGCATGTCCCTTGAATGTGTGATTGATTTCGCCCAGCGCCAGAGTCCAGATTTGCACCAGACGATCCTCGCCGCCCGTGGCTAAGAACTCGCCATTCGGCGCAAATTTCAGACAATTGACGACACAGGTGTGACCCTCCAATGTGCTCTGATATTCCGGCGTATTGATGCGCATCATGTGCACACTCCGGCCGGAGGCAATCGCCAGCTGCTGCGAGTCACGCGACAAGTCGAAGCACGTGATCGGCGGCAATGTGGTCGAGGGCGAACGCTGCGCCTGGGCGTGCCGCTTCAGACTGCGCTTGCGGCGCGGATGCCGCGAGTACGGATTCACATAGAGCTCCTCGTTCCTGAACGAATAAAAGGTGATTTTGTTGCCGCCAACGGTAATCAGAAAGTCATCATTGTCCATGGCATAAACGGCCGTAACTGGACCCGGATTCGGCGGCATCGAGCGCACCAATTTGCCAGAGTGCATGTCATAGATGAGCGCCCGCGTATCCTCGCAGCCGACCACGCACCGCTGGCTGTCCTTTCCAATGCATATGGTGCGTATCTGTGCGGGATTACAACAAAAAAAAGAGAAGGTAAATGCCATTTGCTGTTTGACTCCGGCTCGTTGCTCGCCGCGACTCACCCGCGACTTGTGTCCCTTGAGCGTGTGCAGCTCCTTGCCGGTGGCCAAGGTGCGCACGTAGAGCGCATTGTCCTCGCAGAGGGCCAGCAGGAATACCTAACGGCAGATATACGCACATACAATGTGCATTGAATTTAATTAATTGACATTTTCAGCGCCATTTTAATGCATTCCCCGCCATTTGACGGCGACAAAAGGCCAACTCCGGCAATCCTCTCCCCCTCTCAGCCCCGCATTCCTTCCTGCTTGTCTACCCAATCAAATATTAATAAATTGCATTCCACAGTTGCACAGTTGCAATTTTTACAGTTCGCACACTGAGTAAAATTGCTGCTGAAAAAGTTAAAGCAATGCAGTCGCATTTGACCGACTGCTAGATACTCTGGAAAAACTGCTTGATATGGCTGTTAAACAGCTGTTATGTCATATTTTCAAAGGATCAGTCCTCACTAGCATCAGAGGCTTCTCTGGAGGTTTACTTGAATGATAAATGTAAATTTCTTCTCCAGTTTCTCTATCTCTCTCTTTCCTTTACACTGTTTTTTCTATCTCCTCTCCCTCGTTTGGTATTTTCTCAATCTTTTCTCTAGGCGAGAGAAACTCTCAGTGCCTCTCTCTCTCTCTGTCTCTTTTTCTTGTCGCTTCCTCTTTTATCTCTCGCTCGCTTGAGCTTTGCTATCCGAGAGAGAAAGAGAGTGGTCTTTCTTCTATCCCTATCTTTGTCTGTCTGAGTCGGTCAAATTCTGCTCTCTCTAAATCTCTCTTTATCTTTCTGTCGCCGGTAAAATACTTTCTTTCTCTTTTATCTCTCTCGGTTTCTCCTTTTCTTTCAAGAGGCAAACTCTCCATCAGCCCTCCTTTTTTTCTTTTTCTCTCAATCTTTTAAAGAGAAAGAAAACTTCTAACTCGTATTTCTCTCTCGCTTCATGTTTTCTCTCTGTCGATTGCTCTTTTCTGTCCGCGTAGAGAAAGTTTCAAGCTCTCCCTAATCTTTCATTTTTCTTCCTCTCTCTCTTCATTTCTTTCTATACTTCCCTTCGAGTATATATCCAAAAACCCGAAAACAGAGTATAAAAACGTAATTTCATTTTTAAGAGTTTAGTTTTCTTATTGGCGTAGCGCGTAGAGTATTCGAGTTTGAGTTTATGTGCTTATATCCAGGCTCGCATTTTATTTGACTTAAATATTAATAAATTTCTTGCCGTGTGCCGGTGCAAAAAAAAAAAAAACGGCTGGGCTGCAGTTTTTCAAGCTCCAGCCCAAGAATGCGAGCCGGGCATAAAGGACTTGTCTCTCAAGTGGCTAGACGGCAATAGAACATATATGAGTGTGCCACGAGAGTGTGCGCGTGTGTGTGTGTGCGAGAATTACATTTCAATTTGAGGCTGAAAAATATTTGCCGCACACAGCGCGCGAAATTGTGGCAGGACGAGCTGCTTACAGCCTTGTTATCGACAGCCCAAAAGCCAATTTGCTTCATTCTTCGGCACGTTTGTTTAATGCGATAAGCCAACAATTTGGTTATACTTTTGGCTTTCAATGCGTAAAATGAGTTATCTAATTGCCAGCGTGCGGAGAGAGAGGGAGAGGGAGCGCGCCTTCGGCATGCCATTTGCAACGTTTTGCCCCATCTCCTCTGCCCGTATCCTGTAATCGGATGCGGCACAGGCATTCGGAAATGGCAGCCACTGTGAAGCAGTCGCCGATTATTTGAGTCAAGCACTCAAGTCCTGCGGCAATGCGTACCTTATACTCAGCGCGCGACATAAAAGCGACACAAAATCGACACTTGCCTGTCTACTTTCGATTTATAGCAATAGATAGCATGGCAGAGGGGAGGAGAAGGGTCTCTGGGTACACAGCTAGCACTTGGTGCACGCATCAATTGTCACGCAGCTCCTAGACCCTCCAGCTCCTGGCCCCTCCAGCTCCTGGTCCTCTAGCACCTAACTGCCATTGACAAAACGTCTGCGTCCGTTCCCGTGTTGATATTGTTTTGCGTGCCAAATTGCTGCTAAGTATGCAATACATATTGATGGAGACACACACACACGCACACGCACACGCACACACACTCTTGTGCACAGCAGGACTCCGGACTCTAGAGCAAGTGCCTGGCAGCTGCTGCTTTTTGTCAAGCTGATTGACAACAAAGGATTTGGTTCGTAATGCGGCTGCTCTCTAAGCCAAAATCACTTATTAGAATCAGCCCGCCAGGCACAGTTCCAACTGCAGCTCCCACCCTACACCCTACACCCTACACCCTACATAGCACCCCCTCCCCTTAGCCGCATCCTTTAGCTGCGTCCTGTTTGAGCTTTAGCTTCAAGTATTTTTGTATATTGTATCTTTTTTCTTTAAATTGTTATTGTATCCATCAAATGCAGCTTTAAACTGTGCACACACACACACTGAAAACGTTGACAATTGAGATTTTATCTTGAAACTGAACTAAGACTTATTTTTGTTTTACATTCTCGTCAACAGAGATTTTTGGCATTTCTTTGTTGTTGTTATTGGCATACTTCTGCAGAAATCCTTAAAGACTTAAAGAATTGCCGGGCAAATGGGCAAAGCTGTCGCCGAGATACAGCAGCTAGTGCTCACATAAGGAAGATTTTTGTAGAGCCAAATATTTGGCAGAAAACTGAACTAAGACTTGTTATTGGGTTTCATGCTCGTCAACGAAGATTCTTGACATTTTCCTTTGTTTTATTTTCATTGTGCACCCGACAAGCTGGCATAGTTATGCTGCAGCCCTTTAAGACTTAAAGAGTTCCCAAGGACATGGCCCAAATATCAGCTAGTGCCTTAATATGAAGGAAAGAAAGAAAATAAGACCAGTTGCTGGTTCGAATCGTAGGCACTTGTAAAAAACTATACACATATTTTCAATTAAAAATTTCACTTGAAATAAAAATCAATAACAAACATAAATTTCTCTTCCGCAAATTGAAATATTCTACAAAATGCAGAAGAAGGAATTTGCTGGTTCGAACTCTAGTTTTTTTTTTTCTATAAAATTTTTACATATATTCAAATCTAAGCTCAAAATAAAAACCAATAAAAAACTCGAATTTATTTTATACCAATCAAAATACCCTAGATGCAGTTTGCTGTAGAATCGAATCCGAGTCGTTTTTCTATAAAATATTCAAATGTAAATGGGAACTCGTAATCGATAAGGCCTGCTCATTGCATTTCACATAGTTTCGTTGCTTATTCGTTAAATATTCATTTAGTACATTTTCTTTGCCCATTCTTTCAATCTGAAGCTCATATCGTGCGGCCAGGCCTTACCTAGAATCTAGTTGCATATATATGTCACGCATGTCAAATAGATTTATGAGAACGCTGCATGGCACAGACATCGCAAGTGAAAGACATTTGTCAGGCACATTATAGAGACCTCGATTGGCAACTCTCATTAGCCCAACTTTGCCCTAAATGGGTGTCACTTACCGAATTCCATGAGATATCAATGCGCAGCACTGGACTCGTCATTTGCATGGTGTTCAAGAGCGCGTAGTTCTCCAGATCCCAGACGCATATGTTCTTGTCATGGCTTGCCGAGATGAGGACATCGCAGGCGCCAGCGACCAGAATGCCGCTAACCGGGCCACGATGAAAGCTAATGCGATGTATCTGCAATGGAGTGTGAAGAAAAATGGCAACAGATGAGCTCATTGAATGCAATCGAGTTTTATGGTTCGATAAAGGTTGATTTAACTAAATGGTGGCAGTTGAGGGTTAGGAAGGGCAGGAGCTGGACCTGGGGCTGGGAAATTGGAAGTTAGCGTGACACATGTGACTCGATCTCTGTCGCAGTGTGTGCGTGTGTGTGTGGCACATTTCGTATGCATTAAGTTAATTACCGTTTGGCAGGCGATGTTGACAATGCGCTGGAAACCGCTTGCTGCCACGCCCCGCGCCGCCTACCACTTTTTGTGGGAGTTGTGGGCACGTGGCACCAGCCGAAAGTCACACAAAAATGCCAAAACTTTGATAAATTACACGAAAAAACTTTTGAAATGCCAAAAGCAGCGCCGAGCAGCAACATGAAAGCAATGCCAGCCAGCATGACTATGCCATGGCGTATACGTAATATTGTAATTAATTTAATAAGCGCCTGTAATTTTTGTGTGCTGCACGTGTGTGTGCGTATGTGTATACGTGTGCGTGTGTGTGTGTGTCTGCTGTCTGCCAAGTCACGCCATATTCAAAAGTAAAATCTGCATTTCGGGACCAGCTTTTTAAGCTCCTGAATTCTGTGCAGTCAGCGAAATTGGCTTTTGTAAAATATGCTAGCTGACTTTTTTGGGCCATAAATCTAATTTATATGTATGTGAACAGGCGGCGCTGACACCCGCAAACATTGGACTAACAAGCCCAAGGACAGCGCAGCCACACTTTACATGCAAACATTGCATTCTAGTTAATCACAGTTTAATGTGCGTGCCTCTCTGTCTCTCCCTCATGTGTGTGTGTGGTTGCGAAATTTCGAGCTAATATGATTTATGATTACACGGACGGAGGCAGCTGGTTTTGGCTTGAATGTGTGCCGCTTCATTTGTCAGGCATGCCACAAACACAAATTCAGGTTTAGCTGGAAAAAAGGCTGCTTGACTAGCAGTTACTCTGTCTAAAGTTAGCTAACAGTGGGCTAACATAAGGCTAATTAAATAAATGCTGGCTTAACAGTCGCTTAACATAGCGCAAACAGTTAACGAAATGCCTAGCTAGTCGACAATTTAAGATGTTGAACAGAGTATATTCAAGCTAAAAAAAGCACGCTGCAGTCCAGAGATTTTGATTTTAATTGAGTGCATTTACAGCGGAGTCTTTAAATAAAATGCAAACCATAAAAAAGGATAACAGCTGCTTAACAGAGCGCAAAAGCAAGGGCAAACAAAAGGTGTTAGTTATTCACAAGCTTAACAGCTGGTGAGCATTGTAAAAGAAATGTGTGATAATCTGTAAAGCAATAAAATTGATTAAGAAATTATACAAGAAGAACAGATGTTAACAGTTTAACATAGTGAACAAATGTTAATAAGGGCCTGTAAGCAAAGGCCATGTCACAGCTATGCAAAATGTGAATTATGTTAACATTTTAAAACTCGAACAGGTTTGACTCCAACTAAAAATTTGACATGCCTGAACTAATTTTTTGCTGGAACATAAATCCTTTAATATATGCAAACATAACCTTTTGTGACTATGATATAGGGTGCGCAGTATCCACACACACAGACACACACGCACACATACAGACACACATGGGCAGAGATTATGACCTCGCAGTGGCAGCCACAACGTTGGCTAAGGAATTATGCAAATTAATGCGGTTTGTTTGTTGTGGGTCGGGCTCGTGGCGCGACTCTCGCAATTAGGCAACAGCAAAATGCATTTCACATTACACATTTTACATTCTGCATTATGCATTTCATAATTTGTGTGTGGCTGAAAGCGAAATGCAAATGGCTAAATGGAGGGGCAAAAATGTGAACAAATTAAAAATAGCAAATAGTAAATAGTAAATTGCGTGCGCGCAATTTAATATGAATTCAATAAAAAATCATTGCCTGCTAGCAGTTTCTATGGCACATGCTCTGCTCACCAATTTGCCGCTGGCCAGGTCTGTGATGGCGATGGTTGCATCCTCGCTGCTGCTGATGATCAGCGTGTTATTGACACCAGCTGCCACGCCCGTCAGTGCCGCTGTGTGGGCTCTGGAGTAGCCAGAAAGTGAAAAGAAAAAGCAAAATGTTACGCATTAAAAGTGCCTGCCGAGATTCCCATTGTCAAAGGTCTAGGGGGAGGGTACAACTTACTTAATGTGCGCTCGTCGCTCGCGCAGCGACACGTGCCAGACCAAAACAGTCGTATCCTCGGAGCCGGTCAGCAGCAGCTGCGACTGTTGCGGCGCCACCAGCAGGCACGTGACTGCCGCAGTGTGTCCTGCAAAGTGTGTATAAGTTTGTGTGTGTGTGTGTGTGTGGCATGATTAGCTCGTCTAATGGCAGCGCATTAAGCACGGACGCCCTTACCCTTATACGTGTGCTCCAGCGAGTTGCTCATGATGTGCCACAGCTGCACATCGCCCGAATTGGTGGCCAATATCAGATGTTGCCGCGACGGCGCTAGGCAAACGGCGCGTATTACTCCGGTGCCGGACACGGTCATGTTGCGTATCTGCGAGGGCAACGGCGCCGGCAGCCAGCCGGTCAGCGGAACGAGCAGCGGCACTGCATAGCCATCGCACCAGGCGGTCGCCGAGCGTACCGTCATGCTCAGCAGCGAGTTGTCGTCGTCGTCGTGCTCGCCGATCGGACGCAGCCACGAGACCAGCTGTGAGCCCAGCTGCATGGGATCCCGGGTGAGCACATCGCTCGACTTTCGTATGGTGTAGTAGATGAGCTCAATGTCCCGATCCAGCACATAGCAGCGCACGTGCTCGATTAGGCAGCGCAGATAGCTAATGGATACCGTTTGCACCTGCAAAATATGTGTGCTTATCAGCGCTTATTAGGATGTTACGTCGCGTACTATTTATGCAAATCGGCATTAACAGGGGCATTAAGAATATCAAGTATACGTCGGAATTTAAAGGAGCTTTGAGAATATTACGTATACGTTAGCATTTGGAGACGCATTTACAATATTACGTATAATTTATGTTGTGCAAATCGGCATTAACGAGGGCATTAAGAATATTACGTATACGTCATGCATGTGGAGGCGCACTTAGCATATTACGTATACGTCAGAATTGGGAGGAACATTGAGAATATTACAAATACATTACCATTTGCAGAAACACTTATAATATTACGTATACGTCAACATTTGGAGGATTAATAAGAATATTACGTATACGTCGTGTGGTCGCAATACGAAAATTAAGTATACGCCGCGTGTATAGCTCTGCAATACTGTATATTATAGAAGTAATAAAAATATTACGTATACGTCTTGTGTAATTCAGCATTTATGAATATTGCGTATACGCTCCATATAGTCTAGTGGAAATTTTGAATTATTCCAACCAAGCTCAACGCGTGCTTCACATATGTGATCAAGAATTTAATAAAACTGAATTTTTATAACACATATAGCTACTTTCCTATGGGGCGAATAATAACTTCATATACGAAAATTATTTTGAGAAGCTTTCCAATATCTGCGCAACATTTTTTAAACTATATTATAGAAAATGTTTTTGTGTAAAGCAAGATATTTGAAGTCCATTTTAGTCCATCTAAAAGCCAGTTTAATGTTCTCTATTATTATGTTTATAATATTTTGTAATTTGATTAGTTAATTTAATTCCACATAAAAACAGATGGATGGCCCTTTGACGCCAAGCTGACTTGACAGAATTTAAGCCAGTTGAACATATGAAAGGTCCTCACATTTTCAAAAATGCCAAGTTGCAACATTTACAAATATTGTGCACTGACCTTGGCGCTTGTTAATTTAATCAATTTGCAGCTGCTGCACTTTTAGGTATTCGCCTAATTGAAAGGCAGGTCGAATGGCTATGCAATTAGATGCCACATTTGCTGATGGCCAATGCCGTGGCAAAATTTGTGGCACGTGTCGGTTTTGCATATCAGCTGCAGCTGCCACAACATAATAAAAAGCATTTTAGAAATGTTAACATATTTCTGTTGGACGAACTTTTTGTTACTCGCTTTTTGGCCAAGTTGAACTGCACGTGTTGCATATTTTTGCATGAATTGCAATTGTTTGGTTTTCAAAATTGATGGCTAAATGCATATTTTATCTGTCGAGCGGTGTTCAATTTGCTATGAAAACTAACTTAATTCGATTTGCCAGTACGAAAGCTGCTTAAATAATCATCGCCAACTTTTTGCCAGTTTCGGCCTTCTGGCGAATGCAATTCGGCGAAATTTCCGCATGAACAACTTTCATAATGAACGACGACATTTCAAACAATTAAACGCCAAATGAGTTGGCAGCCGACCAAGACGGACCCGTCGCGCTTTTGTTTAAGCCTTAATGCAACTTTCAGCACTCGGACTTAAGTTGCCGCACCAGCGGCTGATTGCATCTGAGCCCTTTTGAATTTAAGCATTTCCTTCATTTTAAGTTACTTAAACAAACTGATTTTAATTACAAGTGTCTTTTAAGCACGTTGAAAGAGCAGCTTGTACTATTTTGGATAGCAGCAAATGCTTGAAATGTGAATGTAAAAAGGGTTAGCTTTAAATAACATTTTATAAGATTTGTGAATTGCAAAAGGAATCAATCTAGATGACAAATGCAGGCTAAATACCCTCTAGCTAGAAAATAGATTCAGCTTTGACAGAGTTCCGAGTTTTTAAAGAACATTCATAATGAATTTATGAGGTGTACTAATCAAAAATAGTCCCATTTCACATTCACATGCAGCATTTTTTGAATTTGAAGATTAGTAGGCAAAGTAGAAAAAGGCGCATTTAAGCTTAACTGAAGTAAAATGCTATAATTTCTCAAATTTCTATCTGTAATTACCGTGACATTTTAGCTATTGATGGGACACATTTATTAAAAATGTACATCAGAAATTTTAAACTCTTTGCCAGCTTATCAAAAATGTATGAAGCATAAATAAAAGATGCTTGAACTTGTGGCTGAGAGGAAGACTTGCTCGATTTTCATGACTTGTTTAAGTTTATTAGACAAGTTGAGTGCAGATTTTGTCAGCTGTTTGTGGGCCACACAAAGGCGCAAATCGAGATGATTGCAAAGTGGTTTTAGCTCGTTCCTAAACTAATTTCCGCAACGCTGACTAATTGCGAATGCTCGTTAAAATGATTGAATGGGTGTGGGTGGAGCGAGTAAGGCGGGGGGTGGCATACTGTCAACTTACCGCCGCGAGCAGGAAATCAAAATTACAGACTGCGATTTGCTTGAAGCGAGTCGTGTCATCGGAGCGCATGAGATGATGCCAGCTCTCCTCAACGTGCCGCATGCTGTAGGAGACATCGGCGGCAATGGGATTGTAAAAGGTGGATGTGTCGTCGTTGTGATGCGTTGAGGATGATTTACGGCCAGCCGATACGTTATCCTTTTCGCGTTCTCTGTCCTTATCCTTGTGCGGCTCACGCTCCTTGAGACTGACAACCGACTTGCTGTCGCTTCGTGTTGTATCGTTCTCCAGCGTGCTCTCGTCCTCGTCCTGGGGGAAAAACAAATTGGCCAGCTCCATGTGCAGGCAACGTGTTCGCTCCACATCCATATACCGTCGCTTGGCCAGCGTGGCGCAGTAATTGTGGCGCCATTGAATGAGCACCTTGCCGGACATAATCTTGTCGTGCAGCAGCAGGCGCTTATCTGTGGGCAGAGAGAGAAACCAAAAGAGAATTCGAGAGAGAGAGCGAGCAATTTATATAAACTGGGGCATAAGATAATTAAGGATTCATTCTCACCCATTTGCTTGTGTATTTTCTTGAAGCTGGCGAAGCTAAAGTGTCCGTTGTGCGTGTCTATTAACGACTCGGGATCATCGGTGGGCATCAGCAGCTCGAGCAGCTCGGTCTCGGTCAGCCCGTACTCGGAGCACGTGATGTAAGCGGCCAGACTGGCCACCGCCTGCCGGCCATAGTGCTGTTCCAGCTCGTCGAACTGCTGCTCCACATAGGCCACAAAGCTGACATCCGCGGCGCACTGCTCCGGTCGCTGCAGCCGGGTCGCATTCGCCTCCAGGCCCAGATCGAACTGATACTCCGCCGACTTGAACCTATCCCGCTGCATGGGCGTAAACTTGAGCTGTTCGACGGGCGTGGTCGAGCTGCATATGATCTGCACATTCCAGGGCAGCGATGTCGGCAGCCAGGAGAGTGCGGCGACAATGTCGCAATCCAGCGGGTTCAGCAGATGCAGATCATCGATGAACAGAAACAACACGTCGTTGTTCATGTCCTCGATGCGACGCAACAGATTCTGAAACCAGTTGTTAATGTACAGCGGATCGAAGGACGCATCCTTGGGCAAATAGCCCTCGGGTATGTTGAATATAATTGAGATCTGCTGGCAGATTACGCGCAACAGCTCCAGATTGTATGCAGAGCGGGGCGTGGCCTTCGCAAAGCGTATGACACGATGCACACGCGTCGTGCCAAACCAGCCGCCCACCTGGCCATAGAGTGTGCTAATCAGCGCACTCTTACCGCTGCCATGTGTGCCGCATATAAAGTACGGAGCATGCCGGCTGCCGTTCTTGAAATTCGCCATCAGATTCAGCTGCAGCTGTTGCGGCACTTGCGTCTCCAGCAGCACCACACGCTCCGTGTGCTCGCGCAGCATCCGCAAATGTGTGGCATGCTCGTGAAAGATTTCCTGTGCGGTGTGAAAAACATATATACAAATAAATCAGAATACGAAGAAAAAGCAAGAAAATTGGGAGCGATTGCCCTTGACAGCCATTGCCAAATGGGATTCAAATAGTCAACAATCAGCAGCCAAATCGCACCAATTTGAGCTGCCAGACAGCTAAAGTGCCCCGCACCGACCTGACCCCTCCGCCCAATGCCCAGTTCGTGTCCAAGTTCGAGTTCTCGCTAGCTATGGCTGCCAACTTGTCGCCTCTCGTTTCCTGACCGGGGCATATATTATGCCAGAGTATCATCCGCTGCTGACTGTCAGACACTGTCTGCCCCCGCCCACAAGCCTCAATTCCGTTTGTGTGACGCTTAGTGTGTTTGTTCGTAACTTTGTTTACCTGTGCTACTGACAGAATGCCACCTGCTGTGCTGAGCTGAGTCCGTCTCCCTGTCACTGACATCCTCATCCTTGTGGTTCAAGTTGAGGTTGTTGTTGTTTTTGTTGCTGTTGAGTGGCAGTGGCATGCTTGCCACTAACAATTCGCCACCCGCCACTTACAATCACACACACACACACACTCACTCACACACACACTCACACACACACTCACACATACTCCTTCCATGCAGTCAAGCGCCCTTCATCTTCATCTTTAGCTCTGTCTAAGCTATCCAGACTCAGCTCATGCATACACTGTGCAACAAAAACTTGAGTTGGACCTTAAAAGCAGCTCCTTGTATCACAAGTGTGGACTTCAAGTTGTCAATTTTCAAGTTTGCACGTTGAATTTTACTTTATATTAATTTAAAGGTAGGAACTATTAAAAAAGTGCTCTTCGGCTTATAAAAACAGAGGCTAAGTCCTACAAAACTAAGTCTTAAGTTCAATTTAATAATCGTGAAAATTAAAGTTCTTTTATTTGCAGCAAGTTGCATTTCTCTCAGTGTAGTAGTTTAAATAAAGTTGAACTAAAGTTTATTTAGATTATTCGTAACTCGTATCCTAGCAATGTGATTTAGCACCTATTTTTACTCGGGCTTCATATTATTCGCATTTTTTCTGCAAAGTTGCAAAAAGTTTAGCTAATCTTGTATGTTTGCTTTAGTTAAATATCCAGAGTGAACAGCGCATTTCTCTCAGTGTTAAATATATAATAAAGGGCATCATAATCAAAATCGAACTAACTCTTAAAGCTACTACAATCAAATATCTATAAGCTTAGCGAAACTATTATTTATATCTAGCATTGCATTTCTCTCAGTGTTGAAATGGAGTTTATCGCTAGTTCTGTTTATTTTTCGACTATTTCTCTCAGTGCACACATCACACACCAATTAAAGTTAATCCTTGTGCCACTTAAAACTCTGTTCGTAATTCCCTTCTTTCGCTCAGTGTACCCATATGCTCGCATAGTTTGAAGTGTGTGTTTCTGGTCTCAATAAGCTGCTTTCGCTCTTGCAAATCTGATTGGACCGCTGCTCACTGCCAACTGCACTGGCTCTGATTTAGCCACTAAATCAACATTTGCCGAGAAAGACGAGCGGCGGTCTGGTGTGGAAGTGGCTGTGGTTCTGCAGCTGCAGCTGTTGTTCAAGGAGTCGTTTAATTAGCTCGACATTTGCTTGCAATTTTATAATGCATGGAAAAGTTGCGCATACGCCATGTTGTGCTAACAGCTAAAGGTGAGCGCCTGCCTCTCTTCCTCTTCTTTGTGGGTGTGCACACTTAACATATTTCTAGGTTGTCAAATGCCACAACATTTTGTCAAAGTGCTTAGCTGCCTTCGGGTAATGGGCTTCTGAAATTGTGGGTGTGCCAGGAGGGCGGGCAACGTTTTGACTTTAAAGGCGCTGGGAAGGCTTTTAAATTTCAGTGGGACAAAGGAGTGCGGGCGGGCGTGCCGTTGCAGTTGATGTTGCAAGAAGGAGGCGTCGTTAAGTGCAAACAAGCGCAGTTCGTGTGGGTGCTATCAAGCGCAAGGGCCAAAAGCAGGGCATGAGGAGTGGGGCCTGCATTGTATACAAGTGTAAGTGTGTTAATATGTCATGTAGAGCAGCATAGCCAAGTGCGGGAGGAGAACGCAGGCAGGCAGGCTGCGTCCGCTAATGGGCCAGAGCCAAGGCTCGCATTACGCGGCGTCCTTCGGTTTGCGCCCAAGTTGAAATGTTAAATGCTTTTAACAAAAGCCAACGAATGGCAAACGCGAGTCCGTGGCCGAAAGAATACCCAGCTACCAGTTGTGCCGCCCCCTGCCGCTGCCTCTCCCCCACCGCCCACCAAGTAGATTGTTGGCAGGCAACAGCAGCAGCAGCGGCGTCTTGGCCAAAAATGCTTATTGCTGGCGGCATTGGAAAGCCAACCAGAACCCGCCTTGTTTACGCCAGAAAATGAAGAAGATGCCTTGTTATTGGTTTTGCTTTTGGATTCTCTTCATTTTCGTTTCTTTTCGTTATTTTTTTTCCTTTTAGCCATTTTAGCAATTCAATTTCACAGGTGTTTCAGCAAATATTGAACAGCGAAATTGATAAAGCGAATGCTAAGAAAATTCTACTTAAGCCACACTTATAGAAAGTCAACAATATATCAGCCAAGGCAACATTGAATAAGTAATGGATTGATTTTTGGCATTGTTTACTTGGCTTCAGTGTGTTATTTAATATGATTCTGTATGATTTACTGCGAAGATATTGAATTCGATGCTTTGAGAGCACAACTACACGACTAAAGTCCTCTTGGATTTCTGCTTCACTCTTTTCATTCGAGTCTTATTAATGACAAAGGTAATATCAGGCAAGCAGTTGCTGTGTTATATGAGATGCCCCGTACTGCTTTAAAGCAGTTTTAACAAAATTCTGTGCACTGGTGTGAGTGTGTTGTGCATGTATTAGTGCACGTTTGTCTGTTAAGCACGCTGCACTATTATTTCCTGTTCCAAGCAGTCGCGTCCGTGTGCTCTGTACGTGTGCTGAAGCTAATGAAAATTATTTGAAAAGATGATTGCTTAAAATCGAATACGTTTTTAAAAACGAAAATTGCCTTAAATTGTGGTTTCACTTATGCAATATCCACTGTGCTGCGCAACGTTCCTCTGACTTTGGCTCATATAAAGCAATACAAACTTAATGCATAATTTACTTGCCGCACATAAACTCTCGCACATATTTAATTAACCTGCCCAAAGCGTTTTAGGCCGTTTAAACGAGAGCATAAACAATAAGTAAGAAACTGCCAACCTACTCAAAATGTTACTTAATTCCCCCACAAAAATTGTAAAACTGCCTGCCCAAGCAAAAGTTTAAGAACGCTGTCAAATTTTAGATTCCGCATTTAGGCGTATAAAATGGCCCAGCCAAAATGTTTGGGGGCCATCTTTGGCTTGTTGGGGCTTGTAATGCCCGGAATTAATTTATGACTGTTTCTTATTTCTGGAGTGTTTTGCTTTAAGCGTTATACAATCGGAATGCAGGTGCGTCTGAATGCCCCTCACAGCCCCGGCAATTGCGGATTAAATATGCGTCAAGGAATGAAAAACAAATGCGGCTGTCGGGGTAAAAATAAATTTAATTTAATGTTCGCAACGGCGCAGACAAAAACCACTTTGTAGCTTGTCTGCAATGTTAATTGCGGCACGTTCCCAACCCCAACCACCCCGCCACCCCCCTTACGCCACACACCCCGCCCATTTGTGCAGCTCTTCACTTACCTGCACAGTCTTTTTCCTCCCCTTGATAACATCGGGATCATTTGTAATGTGCGCCTCGATTAGCAGACGCAGCTTGTCGGTGACTTTGTTCTTGAATTTACTTAAATACGCCTCGTGGTCCTCGTTGTCCGGATCGATGGCCTCGCTGCTGGCGCTGCCAGGCACACTGCAACAATAATAACAACAATTGCAACAATTATAATAACAACAGCAATAACAATTATGTGTCGCCAATTATATTAATGAGTCCCCCGTGTCCGGCTACTTACACTAGCGTCGTGTGATTATCCGTTGATAGGTTCATGGTCAGCTCATCTTTGATTTTACGCAAACGTTCGCCGGCCTCCACATCGCGGCCGCTGCACTGGGCAGCACGCTCCCGGAACACGGCCAGTATCTTCTCGCTGGAGTGTGCTGTTCAAATATCTGGTTAACAGCATCATGTTCTGACAGCTGCGATTCGTTCACTTACCCATGGCCCGCTGCACTTCCTGCTCGATTTGTGTGCGTCGCAGCAGCTGCACGCGGCGCAGCAAATCCCCATTTGTCGCGGTCGCCAGATGTTGCAGTGATTTCTCCAGCAGCTGTTGCAACAGGTGCGATTCCCTCAGCCACTCATCCGCGGCCAGCGAGCTGCAATATGACAGACAACAGAGTCAGTTTGGAGGATATAGGTCGGGAGAAATATGAAAAGTCGCGCAGAAAGGTGTGAAATGGCTTCAAAATGAATATTTAAAGCTGTCATAGTATACAAATTAATATTCACTAAGAGGGAATGAATACAAAGTAACTTACTTTTTTACTAAAATAAATTACTCTACTTAAGCTTATTAACTGCTGTTCCCAAAGGGTATTCAATAGTCGATTATATGCAGCTAACTGCTTTCTGCTGCTTTATTTCTTGTCACCTTTTTATGGCCGCATAATTTCATTATTCATTTAAAAGTTTTTCTTTAACTTGCGCTACTTAATGTATTCGGAAATTTATCATTTTATATTATGTTAACCCTTTTTGGGCTTAATTTAATTTTGAATTTCAAGTTTTCCCTTTAATACTTTGATTTTTATACGCAAAAAGGCTATTGCTTAATGCTAAATTTTATTTGCTTTCATTTAAAAACCTTTGTTAAGTGCTCTTAACTTAATCAACAGCAATCGTGGACTTTGAGTTATTAAACAGCAAGCGTGTTAAAAGTAAAGTGTTCTCTTTTTCTTTTTCGAAAATTACTTGTAGTTGAGAAAGTGCTCATGGCATAATAACGACTTTTACACTTTCTATATATCGAATTGCGTGTCACGCGCTGTTGTGAGAAGCAATAAATGCTCAAGAACTCAAGAATTTCATTAAACACAATCATAGCCATCAGCGTGAGAAATACAGCAAACTAAAAGCCTTGAGCAGGATAAAGGATATCTAAAAATGTGATGCCATCAAAGTGAATGCCTCCATTACAAAGGCGAAACATTAAGTTGCATATCCTCGGGGTAAGTGAAAGCTTAAGCAAGATGAGGGCAAATACAATCGCAGCAAGAAGAACAACAAACACTTTAAAGAATTGAACAAAAGAGCCGTAAATATATATGTTAGTAGTCAAACAGCGTTCTGTTATTGCACACCATGTTAACCAACAGAGCGCTCACTTTATGTTATTGATATTTAACTGCTTGCGAAGCATTTGAATTCAAACTTTTTGAATGTATATCTTTTGTGAATTGATTTTTTTTATGTTTTTGTAAGCATAGAATGGAAACTCTTCAAAGGCTATATTTTAATCCGAAACAAACGGACAGATAATATGTAAAACAATGGCAAATATCATAAAAATGCGGCTCTTGCTAAATCCTCAGATATTTAAGAAATAATCTGTGGCAGTTTTTCTATGGCCTTTTATGCATTTTGACAGCTTTCAAATTTTGTGTTTGCGAATAATCTAAATTTTGTTGCCAGCATTTCCATTAGTTTATTTCTATTTATGTGCTTTATTTCATTTGGTTTGGTATTTAGTTTATTTGAGATATTTTGTAAGTTTGTTCTCATATTTTTTTATTTGCCAGTTCTTTCATGCAGACATTAGCCTTAAGCACAATTGACGGCCGTCAAGTGTTGGCATTGGCCTTTTCACAATGCAACACGTCCAAACAGCCAGCGCCCCCGGCTGGCATTGTTGGCTTATGAGTTGTGCCAATATTTGCGCTGTGCAGCTGCAATTGAGTTGGCAAACAACGAGGACGCGCATATGCACAAGGATAATTGTTCGGCTGGCCGACTTACCGATAGTCCTGTTTGAGCACAAACTGCGTTTCTGCGCCTGCCTTGGCATACCAGCGTCCAAGCAGCTCCATATCCTGCGCCGGCAGAGAGAGTGCCGCATAGATGTCCTCGTCAATGTGCGTGGGCAGCGGTGGGCGGCCAATGCCGTCGCCAATTAGCGCCAAAAAGAACACGCTTTTCGAGTGGGCGTGGCACGTGTCAATCTCGTGCAGCAGATCCTGCAGCATGTAGGGATCCCGTTCGAGCAGCGTCACATCCAAAGCACCCGTACCAAAGTGCATGTCCACGATCTCCAGCTGTCAAGAGGAGAGAGAGTGTGTGACCTATGACCCTTTTAAGCTTGCCAAGTATCTTACCTCGATCTGGCGATCATCGTAGAGCATCTGCAGCTCGGGCCCGACCAGCTCGAGCAGCATGCGTCGCTCCTGGTTGAACTCCTGCTTGAGGCTGGCCACATAGATCTTGATGAGCAGTGGCTTGGGCAGGCGCGTCTGGGCGCTGGTCACGCCCCGCAGCGCATTGAGCACGCTCTCATCGACGGGCGCGGCCATTTTGGGCAAATGTTATGGCCAAACAGTTGGCCAGAAGCGATGCGTTTGTTGACAACTCGGTTGGCCTTATTTATTGTTTATTTGCGTGCGAGTCTGTACGAGTGTGTGTGCGTGTATGCGCGCGTTTGTGTGTGTGTGTGTGTGTGTACCCTGTTTATTTAACTTGGCCAAAATCAAACGGCAACGTCGCCCTCGCGGCAGCTACCAACAGCGCAAAGCATTGGCACATGTTCCACATCAATTCGCGAGTATCTTTCGTGCATGCACGCTGTATCTAATAGCTGCACATTTGTATCTATATATATATTTATATATATCTGTAGCTGTATCTATAAGTGGAACGCGTGGCAGGATGTGGTACAGTAACAGGGTGTTTGCAGTGCTTGCCACCAGCTCGACGCCGTCGCCAGTTGCCGCCAGTTGTGCATCCTCGATCTGGTGCCAAAGTTTACCCTTTACGGATTTTATTTTATATGTTGCCGCCTGTCGTTGCTGCAAATACAAATTGAAAAGAGTAAATGTATTTATGGTACGTCTGAAGCGGCAAGCGGGAAATTTATGTAAAAAACTTTTTACTGGTAGCACACACAGATACACACACACACACACCACACAAACATGTCGTGCATGCGACAAACGAGATGTTGGAAAAGTTTTTAGTGGGAATTGCTGTTTTATGATCAGCACTGACATGAGCCGGCGAATGTGTTAACAGTTGACTGCATTTTTGGATTAAAAAATTGAATCTAAAAAAGTTGATACGAAACAGTTCAAAGTTGTACTGAATTGCGCAAATGATTTGACAATAATATGTGGCACAGTTTTCCAGCAGATTAGTGTATTCAATAACTTATGCAGTAAGTAGGTCAAATGAAAAATAATTGAATTAAATCAACTTTAGAATTTAATACGGCCCAAGAGTGCATTTGAGTGTATTTTAGTTAAAGAGAATATTATATGGTGCGAGTAAATAGTACTACAAAAGTAGAATATTTCAAACTCCTGAGAACGTAATTGCCTTCGTTATGTTAACTTCTTACACATGTTAACTTTTTAACAGAAAGTTCATCTCGCTCTGTAAAGCGTGTCTCTAATAACATAGATGTTAACAGTATGTTCCCATGTAATTTTAGCACTTATTTTATTAGATTATATTAATTTTTCTTAAGAATAAACTCTGCAATATAACAAATAATTGCTAGGTTAACAGAGTTGTCATTTTATTAGATATATTTATATTAACTTCTCAACAGAATATATTCTGCAATATTAACAGCAATTGCTATGTTAATGAGAGTTAATCTTGTTTACTTTTTTGTTGATAATAATGAATTAATTTTCAAATAATTTTTTCTATCATTCTCAAAATATTCTATCGCTCTGTTAAGCGTCTCTCTGAGTACAGGGATTTTTAACAGCATGCTTTCATGTAATTTAACATTCAATTGAATATATTTATGCTAAGTTTTCTGTAGAATATACTATGCAACAGCATTATGTTACTATGTTAATGAGATATTCGCTTGCTTTTATGATAATCTATTAATTAATATTGCAATAATTACTTCATACACTCTCAAAAAACCTTAAAAAAAAGTTAATTTAAATTTTTTATATTAATTGTATACAATTACAATTAGTATAATAACCCTTTATTCAATCAATAAAATAACTCTTTATCGTAGCCATATAATTAGTATTTTATTGACCACAAGTAATTAATAATTTGTATATAAAGTAAGTAGGGCATTTGTGGGGCTTGATTTACAAAAAAAAAAAAAAAACGTTTTAATGGAAAAACAATTTTTCCTCAATTGATGTTCTGTTCAAGAATTGCTGTTGTTGGTTTTACGGTCTGCTAAATAAACGTTAATAAATTGTAAATAAATCTTGTGATTTTCAAAGGCGCCATATAAACGTGTAATCGTGTAGTTTTATGTGTTCGTAACTCAACGCGTTGGCTTTAATGTGCGCCCTAATAGGGTGAGAGGCACCAAAGGGGGCGAGGCATTTGGGTTCAGCAACAGTTAAAGCTTAGGTCCTGTCACACACATACACACACACACACACACAAACACACACACACAGTGGACTAATGAAGACTCTGCGCGTTCTTCGGCTAACAAAATCGATTGCAATTAATTCCGCTTCAATGAGTTGGCTAAATTGCTCGTTTGAGTATTGGCCAGAGGAAGAGGACCAGGAAGAGGAGCAGCAGTAGCAGCAGGAACTGGCCTACAATCTGCTACTTGGCTTGGCCTTTTGTGTGTGTCGCAGTGTGTCACTTTGTGAGTGTGTGTGTGTGTGTGTGTATCTTAATCAAAGGTGCGAATCCGTAAGGTGTATTTGCCCTGCGTACGGCAACTGCAATTACCAAATCGGCCTTGCAATGCCAGCACACTTCCCCCCCGCACTAACAGCCCCTCAACAAAGCCCCCTTTAAGCCAATATATATTTAATGGTCAAACAAATTGCGTCTAATGAGCACTGTGCCTGTGAATCAAAGCAGTTGCCTGTTCGATGATAACAATAATAATATGGCACAATACGATTTAAGAGTTTCCACATTCAGTGCCAAATTGTGCTTTCAGCTAGCTGAGCTATTGCCCAACAGACAATTATCTGGCCATAATAGAAGCGATCGTTATGCCGATTAACCCCATTATTAGGCAATTTCCTACATTTTGGCACAGACACAGCGAGGGAGAGTTCCGTCAGCAACTAAACCAGAGGGAAGCCCAGCAACAGGACGTTTAAGGAGCAACAGTGGGTGCTGCAAATTAATGGCACCATGGCTCAAACATATGGCCCAAAACGCACACAAGCTTGCCAGTTAGTACAGCTCTAGCTGTTGTTGTTGTTGTTGTTGTTGTTGTTGTTGCTGTGGCATTGTCCCCTGTTATCAGCGACCAGTTTGGACAGTAGCCGGTGTCAAATGACTTCCATTAGGGCAGCGGTCACGCCTTCTGCCTCAGCTGTGTTTGTTTCTGTTGCTGTGTTTACTCTGGCCAACTGGCGGGGCCGTACAGCGAGTAAATTATTGTTACGCATTGGCAAATGGTCGTTCAATTTCATTTTTAAATATTTACCAATTGTGCTGTAGCGCAGCCTTGCAACACTGCAGCCTGCCACAGTTGCAACTTGTGGACTTTGCGTCGACCCAATTGGCCAGCACATAACCATTTGGCACAGTTTGCACACTTTGCACAGCCTTGCCCCCAATATGTGGCACAATTTCAATTTTGTGTCAGGGGCCAGGCCACATTACGGCACTTTAATTGAGGCTACAATTTAGAGTCTTGAATAATATGTGAGTTGCTATTAGAGCCGTAATCTCTGTTGTTTGTGAATATCTAAGTAAGTTTAAGGAAAGCTGACGTTAACTATTATGCTATATTCCAGATAGATATATATTTGAAACATATCTAATTTGATTTTGAATAGGAGTTTTTGGTTCAGTTTTAAATTCAGTTTAAATATTTGTATGATTCATTCGTTGCGATCTTTAATATCCTTATCCTTACTCTACTCTTTGTTGCTCTTCTGTTTTTTTTTCTTTTATTTTATTTTATTACTTCAATTAGATTCATTAGAGCATCAGCTTTAGAACTCTACTTCTTAAAAGAACTCTATACACATTCCGGAATATTTCTGCTATCTACTTTTTCCTCTTGTTCTGCTTAAAAATGCATTGTTTCTAAAGCTTTTTTACTTATATCTGATTGTAAACTCGTGAGGAATCCTTTACAAATTCTTTAAAATATATTATAATTTTAATATGTCTGTGCTATAATAACTGAATTTATAGAGACTAGCTTGAAGAAAACCTCTATCCCAAAACTATTAAAATAAAATGAGCTGATAAGGCGCACATAAAGCTAAATAGCGCAGTTAACATTGAAGGCAATTGCTCGCTTAAAAGACTTTAAAATTGTACATTAAGTGCTGCCATATCTGTGTGTGTGTGTGTGTGTGTGTGTGTGTGTTGGGCTGTGTGTGTGTGTGTATCTTTAAACGTTGCTCTGATTGGGAAAAGTTACACAGTCATAACTTTTGGCCCCCGGGCGAGTTGCATAGTCGGGTCGGAAGCGAGTAGGCCACAGAGTCGGGTTTCTGGTTACGCCAAGTGATTTTGCTCTTTCTTTATGTGACTGGGTAAGAGCCAAAGAGAAGAGGGGCGGTTGAAGGGGGGCGAAACCGAAAATAAAATATTGGTTGTGACGCGCCGCGCATAAATAAATTAATGGTAATAAGTCAAAGGCCGCAACAGGCTGGCAGCAGCAGCAGCAGCAACGGAAGCAAAAGGAACATGCCCCAAGATGTTGCACAGGCGGGGAGTAGGTGGTGTGCACACACACAAAGGAGCCGAGCCCCAAATGGCAAGCAACAAATGGGCCAAGGGGGTGGGGTGTAGCAAAGTAATGGTCGAAAAAAACGCAAATTCAGCAAATAAACAATGTGGCAGCATTTTAGACGCAGGCAACAACAACAACAACAGGCGGAACGTGCAACGTATGTGGCGGGCACTCATGCCGATTGCGTGGCATTAATATTAAATGCGTCGCACCATATGTCTGTGTGTGTGTGTTAGATAGACACCAATACACACACACACACACAGACTCACCCACCCAACGCTTAGCTGCTCGTTTTTCTTATAAATATTTAAGCCAAATTCCAACATCCAAAATTAGGGCAGTTGCTATTCATTTGCACTCGCTGCCTGCAACGCTTACGTATTCTCCCAACTAACACACCCGCAACCTTCCTCGCACCCCTCCCCCTCGCCCACTCACACCCTTATAATAAACAAGTTTCTAAGGCTTTATGGCCTGCATTTATATGCCAGGCCAGAATAAACTTGCGAGTCGGCTTTGTTGCCTCAAAATTGTCGAACAGACGCCCAAAAAGTATGCCATGAATGTGTTTTTGTTGTTTTTATATACCCTATAAAAATGTTTGAGGGGTGCACAATAAACTTGTCCATTTCTGACTCTACTCTATAGAGAGTATATATATACATATATCTGTAGAGTAGATCTTTGCAATGAATATATTCCAGGTATATTTGTCGCTCAGTCTATGGCTCGGAAAGAGACTCCGAGACTCGGAGAGAGACTCTGTCTCTTTTTCTCTCTCTCTCTCTCTCTCTCTCCCTTGCTCTACCTGCTTCTCACTTACTTCTTCGCTGTCTGAGCCTGTTCTTTCACGCTTTCTAGCTATGCCCTAAACCATGTCTGCATCACTTCAAGTTTAACATTTAAATGAAGTATTTTTTTAATTTGTTTGTTTAGCTATTTACAGGGTATCTGGCAGTTAAGCAGAGCGCATCTTGTCCTTTCTAGCTTATTTATATTTTATTTATTTCTTTTTGTGTCTCGGCGCTAAACAAAAATAGCAACAAGCGCCACAAAAATTTCTGCCCCAGCTGAGACGACAACGAAACTGAAACTGAAACTGGAGCAGAGCAGAGCTGAGGCGAGTCGAGTCGA